TAGGGTAAATGTGAGAGAGATGAACTTTGGAACTTACTAACTCTTCTAGGACTCCAACTTTCATAGTAAAATGTTAAAACTTTGTATTTATAAAGAGAAAAAAATAAACAAAGTATTCAAAAACAATAATTTAATTATAAAATATGGAACCAAGTGGTTTTTTTTTTAATCATTTGCCTCCAGAAAATAATAATTATAATAAATTAAAGTAATATAAAAGATGTGATTATATTTTGAGACCGAAATTTTGTTTTGTTTTTGAGTTATGCGTTTTTTTTTGTCAAAATTTAAATTTATGTAAAAAATTGTTTTGAAAAATTTAAATATAAAATAGACAGTTGTACGTACTCCTTAGATCATAACCTTATTCATGAGATAAATGGTTTTATAGTGAGTTGCCATTTAAAATAATAAAAACGTAGTAGAACTCAAAAACAAAGAAAAATATCGAAAAATGTTATCCTGATAAAACATCACTTTATCATTCTTCAATAATTAGTTTTTCCAAAAAATAAATAGTTTAATATTTCAGTATTTCACAATTTCAAAATATCTATATTTTAGTTTTTTAGTATTTTAGATTCACCAAAATTGACGTTGAAAAATTAATATGAAGAGAAATTCAAAAGTTGAAAATGTTTACAAATCAACACAATTTAAATACCAATCACATTTTTTCACTGTCACAATTTTTGTTTTGCACAAAACAATCTTGATGTGTGAAATAATTATCGATTAGCCGTCACGATTTGAAGGTATATCCCTTGTCACTCTCATTATACTCAATGATAGTATGAGTAAATCCAATGTCCATCATTGTTTGCAAGTAATAAATTATTCATTTAAAATAAGAATTATTTAATCATTGGACGGTGATGTGGGTTACAGAACATTTCAAATCGAAAAAATCCTTTACAAATATTAAATTGATAATTTTGGTTTTCTTAAAAGTGAGCCAAACAAGTAAATATAAATAAAACATCTTTTACGCAGGATGTCGTATAACTGAATAAAAAATCTGAAATAAGGAAGTTTTCAGGAAGATGAAATTTCGTGCTAAAGTTGTTAAAACACTGACTAAACCTCTCAAGAGACCATCTTAAAAGCAGTTTACACTTTTTTTAATAATTTTGTTGTTTGAAATTTTTTGTGGTTTAATTTTTTACTATTCAATGTGTCTCCACACATCAGCATAAATTGTTCATCGTAAATCTTGGAAGGGTGAAGTTTTATAATATTTGCATAAAATTGTCATGTATTATCCTCAGACCGAAGTATGGAAAATAATTTATGTAGACAGATCCACTTAATATTCATGATGTCCATGTTTATAAATAATCTTTCTGGAAATTTTTTATGAGCAGTTTCATGTTACGGAAAAAGTTGAGTGCATTTTACACGTCCATGTTATGAATGGAAATATTATGCGCCATATTTTTCTTGATTTGGTTAATTTTCTTGATTAAAGTTTTAATGGAAATTAGTTTTGTTTGGTTTGGAGCTTGCAGTATTATGTGCACTTGTTAGAGAATCATAAATCACGGTCGCCACTAATTACGCTGATTTCTAAAGAGAACTGGAACTATTACATGCTGTAACTCATTAAAGCTAATTCTGCGGTGCATACATCGCAATAAATCTTACACAGAGTGTTTATTAAACAAAAAAATTAAAACCAAACTAGAAACCCAACAATCGATTTCCATAACTTAGATTATTTAAAAAAAATTAAAAAAGATCGAAGCAGACAAGAGAGAAAAATCATTACTTTCTTCCAAAGTAGAGCTAATAAACATCAATTTTTGGACCTTTGACAAAATTTTGTGCCTTCTTATTAATCTATACATTTAATTTTACAACTTATCTATAAACACATTAAATTCAGAACTTCTAGTTACTTTAACTTTGAAATATCTGGGGTTTTGGCCTCCCTCTGGGGCAAATGTCCTTCTAACCCCTGAAACTAGTCCGGTTTAGATTCAGTTTTTACTAAAAGTTTTTAAGTTTTATTACTTAGAGTTAAGTTTTTCTAAAATTTTTTGCAATAATAATGTGTACTATTACTCCTGTAGAAACCAAAAATATCGTATTTTGCAACAAGTTTTTCTTAATTCGAAAATTACACATGGTGTTTCTTAGATTGCTAATAAAAAATAAAAATACAAATCAAAAATATCCAGAGTACAAATAAGGTAATTGTCAGAAAATAACTGTTTTCAATAGCCCTTCAAAGTGACCACTTTTTTGACTAAATGTCACAAGTATTTTTCATCCATGGAGTAAAAATTCTATTTTTGCGCCTAGGCGTTTGTACTTTTATTATGACATTATTAACATTTACCAATGTTGTTCCTTTTTGTTTCTTTTGCGGAATTTCTGAAGAGGTACATTGTAGGATCATCAGCACTTTGCACTACTAACTGCACTAGTTAAATTAATAAATTAAAAATCTCAACACAAATTTCGATACTGTCGCGTGATGTTTGTTTATAAACGTTGTAATGATTTCACTACTTGCAAAGCGTCTTAAGTATTTTGTTCATTTACTTGCTAATTAGAGTGTTGCCTTTTTCTCTCAATCTGAATACGTTTGCGCACAAAATAGTACGTGTTTTTTAAAGTAAAAGTGAGTTTATCACTTTTACTCTTAATACCATAATATACTATTAATTTTTATCATGAAACTTTATAACGCTGTATATCGGCAACGAGGCTTCATAAGACTATCCTTTATTTGACATTTTAGTGTTACTTTTTGATATAGAATATGTGACTGAAATTTTTCGCGGTATATGAACTGAATTTTAGTTTGAAAAAAGAATCTGATATCGTCACAAAACCAGAAAAAATGGAAAAAGTGTGAAGAAGTGTAACTGCGTTTTATTTCTTATCACAAGTTTTAAAACTGTAAACTTTAATAGTATATTAAATATCAATTTAAAAAGTCCTTAAAAGTTTAATTGTTGTGCAGATTTATTCTACTTCCATCAAGCAAGCGAGTGGAAAATTCTGTTGTTTCCTACTCTATAGATACATCTCCTCGTAACCCATAGAAATACGAGGTGTGATCAATAAAAACGGTGAATGGGTCCTCAAAAAAATACAATTTATTCAACTTTGATTAAAAATTCTTTTGTAATTTGGCTTTTTGTTGCCTAAAAATAATACAGTGTGTCCCAAACCACCATATTTGCCTGATTTATTACTCTGTGAGTTTTATAGAGTCAAACTGAGAGTGATTTTTTGGAAAAGTAATTTCTGTTTTTGTTTAGTTCCAAAATGAAACTGTACTTTATTTGCTTTATAATATTTTTGTTTTTCCAACTTAAATAAGAATAGCTTAATCTAGTTAACTGACCTCGCAACATGGCCGAGGATCCTATTTCAAATAAATTTTTTGTTCGACTTACTAGTTCTAGTGTTTTACTCATTTATAGTAACTTTTTTCTATTTTTGTTTCTGTTTATAATAAAGCAGAAAACATCTTTAAAAATACATAACTAGAATTTTGAGTTTCCCAATGTCAATAAATCTTTGCTAGATTTGATTTCTTTAATATTATTTTTGTTTTTCCAACTCTCATAATAGCATAATAATCTAGTTTATATTCTATTTTTATTTTTTATTATCACAAAAAATTCTGATTTTTCTATGACTGCAAATCCTTTCCTAAAAATAGTCGACCTCGCAACATGACCGAAGGCCCTTGTTCAAATAAATTTTTAATTCTAGTTACCAGTTTTAGTAGTTGAATAAAAAGTATGGAACCAAACGTTTTTTCCTTAAACTATTTATTTTTTTGGAAAAACTAAATGATGAATGATAAAGTACTATAAAAATGTTTTATCGAGAATAAAATTTTTCGAAATTTTATTTTGTTTTTGAGTTGTACAAAATTTTTATTTTTTTTTAATGGCAACCCATTATAAAACCAGTTTTCTCACGAAGGTTATGATCTAAACTTTACAACTATCTATACAGGCTGCACCAGAACTCGCGCCCCAGAGAAAAATGCCATTTAGGTAAGGTACCAAGAACACGGAAAAGATGTTAAAAAAATTTTATCTATAAAAATTTCGAAGTTATGAAGGTTTAAATTTTGCACTTTGACTCTATTTATTTCTATTGAACAAATATTTTTCCAAGTTTTTTTGCTATAGGCAATTAAAAAAGGAAACAAGGAAGCTGTATCCTAAATTGTAACTCTGTTTAATGTTATTTGTGGCTTTTATTGGCAAAATTTTTGTACCTTTACTAGATAATTGTAAAAAAACATATACAAGATCATCAGTATCAACAAGTAGACATAAAAAAATGTCAAATTTCAAAAAATAATTGTCAAAATTTTTTGACAGATAGAATTTTTTAAACATTTTTCCATGTTACTGGAATCTTACCTTACTTAAAATTTGTCTCTGGGGCGCGAGTTCTGGCGCACCCTGTATTTAATTTAAATAAAATTACATAAATTGCAATTTTAGCAAAAAAAAACGGTCAAAAACAAAACGAAATTTTGTTCTCAAAATACGATCACATTTTTTATATTATTTTAATTCATATTAACTATTATTTTCTAAAGACAAATGATTAAAAAAACGCTTTGTTTCATACTTTATATTCACCCTGTAGTGTTTATCACATTTTTTTTTTCAGTTTTCTTATTTTCATTTTAAAACAGAGAACATCTGTATAAAAAACAAAGTAGAATTTTGTTTTTACTTGTAATAAGATTTAAGTCCATCCACTTTATGAAGAAACCTCGTACGTAAATTCTAACCGAATCTGACAATTTTAGAATTTTAGTTTAGCGTAAAAGCACCCAGTTTTCCACAATTTGCAGAACATTTCCCGGCAATAAAAAAATATGGCAACAAAGGAGAAAAATAATAGATTTTGTTCGCTGATCATCAATAAGTAAATAAAGAAAACGAGCGGAAAATCTGCAGATTTGTGGCTGTAGCAACATTAGCAATCTCTGAAAGCTCAATTTATTATTGTAGGATCCAGTTGTGATGTAGTGATAAATAGCGATACGAATAAAAACGGTACGATAGTAAGTCCTTCATATCCTGCGCCCTATCCATCACGGACGACGTGTAGATACGAGTTTCAAGGACGAGGAAAAGAAAGGGTCCAAATCGTCTTCCAAGATTTCAATTTGTATCGCTCCACGGACGACTCGACTGAGTGAGTATTTCACACAAAAAAAAACATAATCATTGTAAGCTAAACGATTATTAATGTTGGAAAAGTGGGTTAATTGAAATAAACGAAACACAATTTAACTGAACGTAAAGTTTCAAATCAAGTTAACTTGACTGCAGAGATACACGGCGAAATAATGAATAAATTGCTCTTCTTACGGTTGGAATGCAAAATAAAATCACTTTCTGGAGGTAAACACAAATCTCGTGATGTTTATTCATAAATTCTGACGTATTAAATTCTTAAACTTGAAGTAAGAGTATAAGAGTAGCAATTTTTTCCACATAAAAATAACGCTTTCAATTGCTCACAAAATTTTATCATATAACTTTATCACCCTGTATATCCGTAACGAAGCTTTATAGGACTATGGTTCACTTGAAAAATTAGTGTTATTTTTCGACGTAGAACATGTAGTTGCAATTTTTTGCAGTATTAGGAAAACACCCTGTATACAGAATGTTCCGAATAAATCGCACATTAGAAGTATTCTGAGTTCTAACAGTGTTATTTATCTATAAAATTGTATATAGTCATAATCGGTTGCTGCTCTATGAAAATATTTTCAAGATGGTGGCACTTCCGGTTATACCAGAACGGGGCATCAACTTTGTTATTTTAAGTAGAAAGCTATGTTTTTATAGCGTTTTTAGATTCCTCGAGTTTTTCTATAAATGTTATATTGACCTTTCCTAGACCTAAGTCCAGCTGTTTTTAATGTTTTTTTATTTTTTTGAAAAATTTTCTCTTCGAAAATCAATAACTTTAAATTTTGAAACCGTATTTGGGCATTTAAAAGAAAAAGGTTTAATTTTTCTTTTGGTGGATTTATAATTTAAAAAAATTAATAACAAATCCACAAAATTTGGGGTCATATTTGCGGAAATTCAAATACCTACCCATAACTTAATTTTCCGAAAACATCCCATTTTTTTGTTTAATTTAATTCTACTTTAATCTGTAGTAACATTTACGGCACCTATGTTTAATAGTTTTCAAATTGTATTAACTTTTTTTTGATATTTCGGAAAATTCATTAGCCTTAGCTAGATCAACAGAAATTGCCATGAAAATTAAAAAAAAATGAAAATCAAAATTACTTAAATTTAGATTAAATGAATTTAAATTACGAGTATATTTAACACATTTGTAAAAAAAATTATTCCATGACAAACTATGTGAAAATAACTGTATATAATAATAAATTTCTTGTATTGTAAAGAAGTCAAGATAACTTAAAAACCATTAAATATAAATATACAGATCGATGCAGAATTAAATTCACTTTCATTTAGTAAAAATAAGGCATTTTATTAAAAAAAATTGAGTTTCCCAAACATAACCTTCAATTTTATCCATTGTTAATTATTTTTTCAATGAAGAATACACTAAAGAAAAAATGTAACCTTTCTTTTTTATATGCCCAAATACGATTTCAAAATAATAAAAAATGACAATTATCGATTTTTAAAAATAAAGGTGCAAATCTAAAAATTTTCAAAAAAATCGCAATATTTTGTAAACAATTAAACTTAAGTATAGGAAAGGCTTCTTGAGTTTGACTTTACTTGAGTAATCCAAAACTGAGACTCATTTCCGGTATGACCGGAAGTGCCGCCATCTTGAAAATATTTTTATTGAGCAGAACTTAATTTATTATGGCTATAAGCAAATTTTTAAGTACACTGTCAGAACTTACAATGGTTTAGCCAAAAAAGCCTGTATACAGGGTGTTTTCTCAATTCAACGATATTCCTATGAAGCTTCATTACGATTATACAGTATGATAAAATTTACCTAGAGCACGTCACTGGACATTTTAATTTTATTTTGTTAATTAGTGTTGTTTTTTTTTATGTAGAGTATATGATTGTAATTTTTTGCAATATTAAGACATTATCCTGTATATTTTAAAGTTTTTTTTAATGTGCGTATTTACTTATTTTTTTATTGGAACAATTAATTTGACTTTTATTAATCAATTCAAAAAATTAAAAAAAAAAACGAAAACTCATGTATTTGTGAGATTTTTTATACATACAGGATGTTAAAAAGAATTGTAAAATATTTTAGGAGGTAATAGGTAATAAATTATTCATTTTTTGAAACTTCTAGTAAAAATTCTAAAAATTTTTACATCGTTACTTTGCGGACTCATGTTCATTAGGGCTTTTTTGTTTGTTTTACAAATGTAAAAATAATCTTCATGCAGATTATACAGTATGATAAAATTTACGTAGAGCACGTCACTGGACATTTTTATTTTAATTTGTTTATTAGTGTTGTTTTTTTTTTTTGATGTAGAGTATATAATTGCAATTTTTTGCAATATTAAGACATTACCCTGTATATTTTAAAGTTTTTTTAAATGTGCGTATTTACTTGTTTTTTTATTGGAACAACTAATTTGACTTTTATTTATCAATTAAAGAAATTTAAAAAAAACGAAAACTCATGTAGGTAATAAATTATTCATTTTTCTAAACTTCTAGTAAAAATTCTAAAAATTTTCACGCCGTTCCGTTACTTTGCAGATCCATGTTTTCTAAGACTTTTTTGTTTGTTTTAGTTCAGACTATTACCTCCTTAAATATTTTACAATCTTTTTTTAGCACGTGTCTCAATTATTCAAAAAATCGAGTTTTAAAGAGCCCATTTGGGTACGACAACTCTTGAATAATTTAATTTTGTTGTAAGTTTCCTCTTTTATGAGTGAAATAACGGGTCTTGGCCCCTTTTCTAGGTGCGACAACCAGGATTCCCTGATGGCCTTCGTCCACATAGACGGTAGAATGGAAAAAATCGACAGTTTTTGCGGCAACACATTGCCGAAACCTGTCATGTCCAATGGTCCTAGACTAAAGCTAGAATTTCAAAGTCTTTTCGCGTCGCGATACTCAAGAGGCTTTAAAGCGACTTACAGTTTTACAGAAAGTAAATATTCCACAAGACTCAAGTCTCATTTCTAATCTCATGAATTATTTCATTCCAGATTTTGGTATTAAAACCGGCACGCAATTGTCGGATTACCCATGTGCCTTCGTATTTAATAGTAATGAATCTAAAAATGGATTTTTCTACAGCCCCAATTATCCCGGTTTGTACCCGAGAGACACTGAATGTCACTACTTTTTCCACGGAAATATCAAGGAAAAAGTGCACTTGCACTTCAACTACTTCGACGTTGAAGGAGTGTTACCGTAAGTAACTCATTACTGACTTTCTATTACCTACCTACAGGGCTGTACCCAAAGAGGGGATTAGGAGGTTCAACCTTTTTTTTGTTATTTTAGTGAGTTAATTTTAAATTTTTGTGAATTAATTTTTCATGTGTTAATTATACAGTGTTTCATTTTTATTGTTAGGTAGAAATTTAAATACTTGATGGAATATTTAATTCTAAGACAAAAGTGTTTCGAAAAATGCTATGAAAAGGGAGCTACACCTCCTAAAAAAAGTACGTTTTTGAAAGAGTTTTTTCCTAATATTTCAGAATAGATAAAATTACAAAATTTGGTACCTTTATACAGGGTGGGGCATCGGTTACGAGCACTTGATAAATCGCGATTTCAAATTAATTAAAACTGGCAATATTTCATATACCTAACTAATTATTGATAGGGTATAATTTGATAATTTTTCTATTTTTTTTGGATAATAATTGAGTCCGTAACAGTTTTGTGTGTTTTATGAATACTTTCTGTTAATTTACCTATAAAATTTTTACACTAAATGAATCTGTACCTGTCAGCGCATCAAAATTTGATATCACAATTTCAAATTTTGACTTGGTTATCCAAATAATCCCTTTTTTATTTAAACATAATCCAGACCGTGATTTATGACAAAATGGTATAATTTGCCAACAAAAAAATCATTTACTGCTAGCCGACCTTTAAAAGGTCTTTTTGTTGTAAACTTTGGAATCTTACCCAAACTGCAGTTCCCCATTGTCACCTAAATTTACGATGGCACAAGTAGCAGGTCATAAATAAAAATGATTTTCAAAGTTAAGATGGAAAATTGCGTTTAATTCAAAATCTAATTGGTTTTTTTGTTCTGATTTTGTAAACAATTATAAGAAGTGAATCTGCGTGGGACAGAATAAAAATTAGAATTAAATTATTTGGGAGAAAATTACTTTTTATTTTTGGCTTTGTTTGTGAATGAAAAATTACCAAAAAATTAGAGAATGTACCTTACTAATGCCCAGGTAAGTGTGAAAAAATTCAACAATTTTATTAAATTAGAAGTGGGGATTTTCTTTTTGGGCGTAACGGATGCCCCACCCGGTATGTACACCTAAACAAATGCCAAATAACAAAATTTTTAATCAGGGGCGTCCTAAACGGTAAAACAATTTTAATTTTTTATTTTTATGCTGTTTATGGTCTGTAACATAAATTTTTAAACCGATTTTTACTAAAAATCCGTAAATTGTATCGAAAAAACACAAAAAACCTTTCTTTATGAAAAATTATGAAATTTTGTTGCTGAAAGTGGCAAGAAACCACAGGCAATATAGTTAGAGTAAATTTTTACCCTAATCTCATCTTGTTTAGGAAGCCCCTAATTAAAAATTTCAACATTTTATTTTTGTACTTGTTTAGGTATATAAAAGTTATCATCTGTACAAAACTTTGAATTTTTTTTCAAAAATGATTTCGGAAATATGGAAAAAAACTATTAAAAGACGCACCCTTTGCGTAGCATTTTTCGATATATGTTCATAGAAAATGTTTGTTTTAGAAATGAATATTCTATCTTCTGTTTAAATTTGTAACAATAAAAAGTATTAAAAAAATATTTTATTTTTTGTTATTTTGTGAGTTAATTTGTATTTTTTTATGTTTAATTAGGATCTCTTATTTTAATTTAAAATAAAAACGTGTACTTAGAGATGTTTGCTTTTTATCCGCCTTCTTTCATTTCATTTTCATGGACCAACAAGAAACCCCTCCTGAAATAAAATCCTGGTTACGGCCCTGCCTACCTACCCACTTTTGTGAATAAAGTTGTATTCAAACCTCGGTGCAAAGTTAACTTTCTAATCTCTCGACAAATATAAACAATTTACGCTTTGGTGTGTGATATACTATTTATTTATTTTTTGTATAAATTAAGTAAATTCAATTTTTTCAGCTGTGAGGCGATTTCGGCCAGTGATTATGTCGAGTTTTCCAACTTTATGACTCGTGATCGAAAATACTCGCGACATTGTGGGCAATTAAAGGAGTTTAGTATCGAATCCGATCGAAAATTTTTTCGAGTCACGTTTCGATCCAATGATCGTCTCGATGGAACCGGTTTCAACGCAACTTACCAGTTTCTGGACGAAGTGGAGACTTATACTGCCAAAACCGACAAAACCAACAGCAGCTGCGCTATTGGTAGGTAATTTATACAGGGTGTCCGGAAAAAAATATTGATTGATATAGAGAGATGATTTCCTTAGGTCAAGAAAGAAAAAAACTTCTTATGGACATATGTCCGGAAACGCCTCCTAAGAAAGCTAGCGCGGTAACTTAACCTTATACATAGAAAAAGAAATAACAGAAGTGAGATTTTTCCAACGAAATGTCGTATTCTGACGGAAAAATTCTCGAGCAACGTTTCCAAAACCAAAATTTTTCTAAAAAGTTATTACAATACTGAAAAAAAAAACATGTGCTCATCATTTTTTAAGGGCTTAACCTCGCTTAGGAAGCATTTCCGGGCATAAGTCCACAGGAACTTTTTTCCTATATTGACCCAAAAAACCACCCCCCGAAATCTTTAGGCTTTTTTTTAGACACCCTATATATGACAAAACAATAACCCAGATTTTCAGTTAAAATTCGTTTTCTAAAACAATTATTCTGTTTCAGGTAAACCGGAGGAAGTGTTTATTATCATTTTTGTATCAGTGTTAATCAATATATCGACATAAACAAAAATAAACAATAAACATTTCGAAAGCAATACGATTTTAGGACGAATTTTACAAATGTGAAAATAATCTTCATGCATTTGTACATTTAAAAGGCTGTTTTAAATTCTTGAAAACCTAATGTTTTTATTTTTTTTAAGTAAAATCTTCCAATTTGTTAAAAATCTGATAGTTTAACTCACATATCTGTAAGGTTCATTTAATCATCAAAGGAATGGTTAATAAATGAGCTAATTGTTAAACACTGAATTTTTTTCAGTCATTGGATTTATAAAATCTATTGTACAGGGTGTTCCCTTTTTATTGTTATAAATTTAAAAAAAAGTTATGTAAGGGAGCTACACCCCTCAAAAGGGGTACGGGTACGTTTTTAAATGTTTTTTTCTAATATTTCAGGATAGATAAAACTACAAAATTAGATAACCTTTATACACCTAAACGAATTCCAAGATAAATGTCAAAATGTTTAATCAGGGGCGTCCTAATTTTATTTTATATTTTTATGCTGTTTATGGTCTGTAACATAAATTGTAAACTGATTTTACTCAAAATCGGTAAGTGGAAAAACGCAACATCTTTTTTATGAAAAACTATGAAATTTCGAATTTTGTTGATGAAATAAGTAGTACTTTTTACCCTAAACCTACTCAGTTTCGGAAGCCCTTAATTAAAAATTTCAACATTTTATCTTTGAATTCGTTTAGGTGTATAAAAGTTATCATCTATACCAAATTTTGTAATATTATATAAAGTGGTTTCGTTTCAGAAATATTGGAAAAAACCTATTGCGTATCATTTTTCGAAACATGTTCATAGGAAATTTTAGTCTTAAATATCTATCTCATGTTTAAATTTGTGACAATAAAAACGAAACACCCTGTAGTTTGTGTTATGCAAAATAAACCGATTCACTGTACTAAGTTTATGATAAAATGTTAAATTGTAGACTGTGAAGACAAGGACCCTTTGTATATAAAAATAGTGCACAATAAATATGATTTGTTATAAATGTCTACTTTTTTAATTAAAAACATATTCTTGACGCACTTAACAAATATATACACATGCGTCAGCTTTATAATTTATTTATAAAAACTTAAGCACGCTTGTGATAAAATTTTTATTTTTGTTCACTCTTCACTGTAAGGAAATTGCTGTAGACAGAAACATTTTCATATGAGGTTCAAAACTGTTCATTTTTGAGGGCAAAAAAACGATTCTTTTTCTGACTTTTGCTTGTCTCGAAATTTTCAAAAACTGTGCAATTTATTTTGTGTTTTTGTCTCTAAATCCTCCTAGATATTTTTTCCTGCCGTTTAAAGACTATACAGGGTGTGTTAAAAAATTTTGGCAATTACTTTTTGACATTTGACATTTTTTATGTCTATTTAATGATATTGATGATCTTTTATATATTTTTTATAATTACTTAATAAAGATACAAAACTTTTGACAATAAAATCCACAAATAACATTAGAGTTACAATTTAGGATACAGCTTCCTTGTTTCCTCTCCTAATAGCCCGTAGCAAAAAACTTGAAAAATAATTTTTCCTACAGAAATAAATAGAGTCAAAGCGCAAAATTTAAACTCTCATAACTTCGAAATTTTTCTAGATAGAATTTTTTCCATGTTCCTGGTGGATTATATGGGATTTTTCTAATCTGACGCACCCTGTATGTTTTCAAATTAAATCAAAAACCGGAACTACCAAATTCTTTCATTAAAATTCTCTACATGTGGTAATTCCAACTAAACCAAGACTTTTTTATCTTTGCATGTAAGAAAATTGAAGAAGGAAAAAAAAACTTGTGCAAATAAGGTTAAAATGTTTTTTTTTTATTTTTTATAGACTCTGAGTAAAACAATAAAATCTTCTTTATTATAAGATTCTATAATAATATTAAGATATAATAATGCAAATCAAATAACACATACATAGAAAGAAGTATGTATTTGAGGTCTAAATAATAATAATTAGTTCAGACTGAAAAATAATATTAATCTTTGATTGTTATAACCACTGCGTTACCGGAAAAAGAGTATGAAATTTTATGTGGACCATAGAACTGTCTAAAACCCGGACACTTATCGAAGGGATATTTTTGATGCATCCTAAATTTATCCGAAGTTCCATCTCTAAAAGTCAGTGTCATTTCAAAAGGACAATGGGAAGCAAATTTATTTATTTGTGCTGTTTTTCTTTGTATGGAAAAAGAAGGAATCTCTGCTCTATTGAAAAGAGGACGAGCACCAAGCCAGTCAAATGGATCCATTGACGACATAGTAGCACTAATTATATCTTTACTGGATAAGTTAACAACTGCAAGAACTGTGTTATACTCGTATAGTGCCATTTCAGACGCTACTTTCTGTCCAACGCTGATAATTAGTATAATACTAATTAAAGTTGATAAAGACGCCATTGCTGTTGGTCAGTAAATGTTACCTACAAAAACAATTCATTGTATAGATGATGTACAGGGTGTTAAAAAAAGATTGTAAAATATTTAACTAGGTAATAGTATGGACCAAAATAAACAAAAAAAATTAATAAGCATGGTTCCGCAAAGTAACGCTTTCCGAGATATCGAATGTGAAAATTTTGGAATTTATACTAGAAGCTTCTCTTGAAGATTGCAGATTGGACAAATATTTATTAAAACATTTTTTGTTCTGGTTCATACTATTACTTCCTGAAATATTTTACAATTTCAACTATACAGAGTGCGCCAGAACTCGCACCCCAGAGAAAAATGCCATATAAAGTAAGATACCAGGAACATGAAAAAAATGTTTAAAAAATTTTATCTATAAAAATTTCGAAGTTATGAGGGTTTAAAGTTTGCACTTTGACTCTATTTATTTCTGTTGAAAAAATAATTTTCCAAGTTTTTTTGTTATAGGCTATTAAAAGAGAAAACAACGAAGCTGTATCCTAAATTGTAACTCTGTTCAATGTTATTTGTGGCTTTTATTGGCAAAATTTTTGTCCCTTTACTAAATAATTGTAAAAAAACTTATACAAGAACATCAGTATCATTAAGTAGATATAAAAAAATGTCAAATGTCAAAAAATAAATGTCAAAATTTTTTGACAGATAGAATTTTTTAAACATTTTTTTCATGTTCCTGGTATCTTAGCTTACTTGGAAATTTTCTCTGGGGCGCGAGTTCTGGCGCAGCCTGTATTTTACCCAAACAGTAAAAATCGTAGAAAAAATTGAAGTTCACAGTTGAGGGCTATTTTTGGCTCATTTGAAGCATAATAGCAGAAAATACAATTGACAACATAAACAAAAATACACAGTAAGCATTTCAAAAGAAATACGATTTTCTTCAAACATTTCTATACTTAAAAGGCTGTTTTAAGTTTTTTGAATGAAAACTTAATGTTTAACTTTTTCTTTCAATTTGTTAAAAATCTGATAGTTTTACTCACATAACTGTAAGGTTCATCTAATCATCAAAGGAACGGTTAATAAATGAGCTAATTGTTATGGTAGTGGTCAGAAGTTAAGTACTTGAAACACTGATTTTTTTTCAGTCATTGAATTTATAAAATCTATTATACAGTGCGATCAAAAAGTCTGTCTATCAAGCAAGCGTAGAAATTTAAAACGTATGTCTGTGGAAGATAAAATGTCATAATAACAAATGAGAAATGTCAAAATATTTTTTATGTAGATTATAACAGGAAACGAACTGCCATGCAACTACGTCCTCAACTAAGACCCCTACTTGATAGAAAGACTTTTTTGATCGCACTGTAGTTTGTGTTATGCAAAATAAACCGATTTACTGATACTAAGTTAAAATAGTGCACAGTAAATATGATTTGTTATAAATGTCTACTTTTTATTAAATGCGAAAAAAAAACAGGTTTTTAACGCACTTAACAAATATGTACACAAGCGTCAGCTTTATCATTTATTTATAAAAACTTAAGCACGCCTGTGATAAAATTTTTGTTTTGTTCACTCTCCACTGTAAGGAAATTGCTGTAGACAGAATTTTTTTTATAAGGTTCAAAACTTATACTTTTGTTTTTTTTTTAACTTTTTTTTAAATCTTCAAAGTATAATGCGTAAATAATTTAAATAAGTAAATAAAACACAAAATTTTGTTCTTGTAAAATATTTGGAAGGTTTTGTTGTAGTTTTTATGTCACAACTTGACTAAAACCGTTTATATTTGAAAGTTTTTATCGTGTGATTTGTAAAAATGCCAAAACTGACAAACAGTAATATGAAAATTGTCAATCAAACGCATTTTTTTTGAGTTGTCATTTGCTTCTATTTTTTTTGGTTGCAATATAAATAGAGACACAAAATAAATACCTGTTTTCTAAAATCGTCTATAAAAAGAACGAAATAGTCCGTAAAGTGGTACTTTTTTTAAATCACAATCGACTGTGAAAAAAAAACAATTTAAAAGGTTACAAAGCCTTAACCAACACCTTTTTAAAGCACCAATATTTTTTCTATTTCTGAAACACGATGTATACAGGAAAAAAAAATTCCAAGAAATAATATGCTTCAAAAACAGTTTTTGATAACCCAAAAAATTTGAATTGTTTTGTAGTCGCAGTATTTTTTTAGTTGTGCCCAAATAACGTTTTTGGAAGGGAAAACATTTACAATTTTAGCATTTTTTATTAACAAATAAGGTTTGAAATGTTTTGTTTCCTGCAATTTATTTCAAACGTCTTGTCGTGGAATTACATTTTACAAATAAAAAACTTATTATTTTTGAAATCGTACGTAAATTAATTGAAATAGTCGGTAAATTAATCCAAAATAGTCCGTAAAGTGGAACTTTTCACTAATTGAAATCGTCGTTGAAATAATTACGATTTTAGAAAAGAAAAGAATTTTACTTCAGCAATAATATTTATTTTCTTAAATAGATATTTTAATTCTTTAAAAATGACATTTTAATATTATTTTTTTATTAATTAGGGAAGGTAATTTTGTGTTTTTTATTAGCAAGAGTTGCATCAAGAATATTTAAAAATTAAAAAAATATTAAAATTATATTAAAAATACAGGGAGAACTCGCGCCCCAGAGAAAAATGCCATATAAGGAAAGATACCAGGAACATGGAAAAATTTTATCTATAAAAATTTCAAAGTTATAATAAGAGTTTAAATTTTGCACTTTGACTCTATTTCTGTTGAAAAAAAAATGTTCCAAGTTTTTTTGCTACAAGCCATTAGAAGAGAAAACAAAGAAGCTGTATCCTAAATTGTAACTCTGTTCAATGTTATTTGTGGTTTTTATTACACCCTGTAAGAAAATGTCAAATTTCAAAAAATAAATGTTTTGACAGATAAATTTTTTTAAATATTTTATCCATGTTCCTGGTATCTTATCTTACGTGAAATTTTTCTCTGGAGAGCGAGTTCTTACACACCCTGTATACAGTATGTCCCCGAATAGGTGAAACGACTCTTGTACAACAAAAACAAAAACAAACATTTTGCAACAAAAATTTGCTTTAAATTTTCATTTTTTGGGTTCATCCTTGCTTAGTTAAAAACTAACTATTTCTAACATAATTTGAGTTATGAAAAATCATGTAAGCCTAAAATTTTAAAAAATCTATTTTTCTGTAAAGTGCCTTTATGTTCAAAAAGTTATTAAGTTGTTCACAATCAGCATCTAGGCCCTTATAACAATTTTCAAAGTCATCGGTCAACTGTGATTTTTAATTTTCTGTTGTAGATTTGTAAAAAATGCAATTTTTTAAGTTTTTTTGTGTTATTTTATTTATTTGTAATAAAAAAACTATTAAAAATAAAATTCTTTGATTTGTGGAATAATAAACACCAAAAAAATTAAAAACCATAGTTGGCCTAGTCTTGATTCTAAATATTTTATTCTATTAATTTTTGTTGTATTTGCCACATAAATTACACTTTACCTACAAAAAGATACGTTTTTTTGTAATTAAGTCATACTTAGTTTTTCGAAATTATATTATGTTGACCAAGCAGGGCTAAACTCCAAAAAAATAAAATTTAAATCTAGAATTTATATCTTTTTTTTTTGGAAGAGTCGTTTCACTTATCTGGGGACGCACTATATTTGTTAGCAAAAACAATGATATTTTTATATTACATATTGTATTTGTGACTTATCATAGGTATTTATTATACTCTTTTGACTTACCATTGAGAAAGCAAGTATTTTGTTATAATCACACGACGCAGTTTAACTCACACACAAAAATCTGACCAAGAGACATATTTATAAATTATAATACTATGTAATGCTATGTAAATACCTCACGACAAAAAAAAATGTCATTGTAGTGAGAATAAACATAATATACCTACCTACGCAGTAACGAGATATTATCACGATATTTTTTAAAATAATACTTTAAAAAATTGACATTTTTTTTTTATAAATACCTTTTATATTTTACTCAAACACCAAGAATCGTAAAAAAAAGTTCACACTTGAGAAGTACTTTTGACTCATTTCAACCACAATGGTAAAAAATAGAGTTGAGTGACTTTTTCTATTTTACGTATTTAAAAATAGTATATTAAACAAGTTTCATAAGACCAGTCTTGAAGCACAAATTCAAGTTCAAAAAACGAGTGGCGTAGGTAGTAACTAAGACATCGCACATAATGACCTCGCTTTCTTTAATGCAGGATGCGCCATATATGTAAGGTAAGATACCAGGAATATGGAAAAAATTTTAAAAAAAAATTATCTATAAAAATTTCGAAGTTATGAGAGTTTAAATTTTGCTCTTTAACTCTATTTATTTCTGTTGGAAAAATAATTTTTCAAGTTTTTTTGCTACAGGTTATTAGAAGAGGCAACAAGAAAGCAATATCCTAAATTGTAACTCTNCTATTTATTTCTGTTGGAAAAATAATTTTTCAAGTTTTTTTGCTACAGGTTATTAGAAGAGGCAACAAGAAAGCAATATCCTAAATTGTAACTCTATTCAATGTTATTTGTGGCTTTTATTGGCAAGACTTTTGTACTTACCTTTACTAAGTAATTAGAAAAAAACATATGCATCAGGATCATCAGTATCATTAAATTGACATTAAAAAATGTCAAATGTCAAAAAATAAATAAAAGTTTTTGAAAGATAAAATTTTTTAAATATTTTTTCTATGTTCCATCCTGTATACTCTTTTTCATATTAATGTGGATCAAGTAGGTTGTAGAAGTCTAAATGCATCTTTAATTTAAAGGCCGATTCACACAAAAAGTGTCATTAATATCATTCAGAACAAATTTAATCACATCAATAATGACAAAAATCTTTGTTTTCCACACTATGTTAATTAGGTACGTTGTTAATTTTAATTATTTTTGCTACCTCACATTGGGGTAGGTACCCCAAAATATTTTTAGGGAAGTTTGAGGTTGGGATTGTTTGAATTTTTACAAGGTTCTCACGTTAAAATGATCCCTTTCGACGACTACCTCATGCACATTGATAAGAAAACGATTATATTTCTATTAGAGAATCAAAATGGAGGCAAATTAGAAAAAAGGCTATTAACGAACTCGTTTGGGTGCGTTAACAGCTTCCTGTGTGTAACTAGCCTAGTGAATTTTATATTTTTAATGTTGGTTACAATACTGTTGGAATTAAATTAGAAGTACTTTCAATAAATTTTTAAATTTTCAGTGGCAAATATGAAAAAGTTTTGAGAATTCATTTATCGATGTTAGTTCTAGTTGAATTTTCCAACCCCTAAGTGTCACCAACCGAAGCAAAATTCCCTAAATTTGAATATTCCTATTTTTCTTTAAAAACAAAGCAAAAAATGTTCCAATTTGAAATTAGGCATTAGGTCAATACGACTTAAAAGTTGAATGAAAAAGTATAATTAATTTAGATTTTTATTAGGTAAACATTTAAACACAGTTATAAATAATTCATGTACAAAATTTAACTCAATTCTGTTGTTGCTGCAATTTCACTTCGACAATTTCCACAATGGCATCTCTAATTTTGCTCTTTTCCAATCCCAAATACTGAATTTTCTCCATCTGTTCAGTAACAAACTGAATTTTTCGTTTAAAATAATCTTTAGCCGCCTCCACATCCTACAAAAACCCCATTATTAAATTCTCATAACGTATTAAAACCGGTGTACTTTTTCTGCATAATATCGGGTTCCAATATCAATCAACACATTGTTGGTCTCATGCAACTTCCCGGGAACGTACATCTGAAACAAATCCTTGATAAAAGTCCCCAAATATTACTCAAAATACCGAGCCTGTTAACGGAACTAAAATGTCTTTTCCGTCCGAATCGGGACCGAATTTCTCCAACGATTCGCCAGAATTCTGAAATTTCGATTGTGCCATTTTCAGGGACGCAAGAGATTCTTGAAAAAGCGACAATTCCTGGAAATAAAGCGAGTTGGAAAGTCATGTGCAAGGTTGAGGTTATGTCACTTACCTGATCTAACTGTTGCTTCAACGTTGACAACTGCTGGATATTTAGCGTCATAAGATCCACCTGCTTCATATTTGGCTGCTCTGTGGACGAAATTTGAGCCATTTTGCAGTAAATTAACAACTAAAAATCGATTAATAAATTGGTGTCAAATGTCAAAGTAGAGACAAATTACCTTGCCCACTGGAACTACTCCGCAAAAGGCTTAATCCGGAATATTTAGTTAGAATACAAATAATAACAATTGAATTTAACTAAAACAAGTTACTTTTAGTTAACTAAATCTATTTTTTTACTGTGTTTATTTGTTAAAAAAAAGTTAATAAAGTAGAGACAAGTTACGTAGTTCATATAAACTACTCAACAAAACCGAAACGCTATATATTTTATTAAAACACAAATAATAAACGTGTGCAATTTGCCTATAACGTTACATTTGACTAAATAATTTTATTTATTTGCTGTTTGTATTTCTTAAACTAATTTTTCCAGTAGGTGTAAAAATTGTCCTATAGTAGAATGAATGTCACCACTGCCTTCTGATTGGTGGTTTTGTAATAACGGCTTTTGAAACTTCACTCTCGTTAAGCGTGCGCTTGTTATAAATAAGTTAAAAACTTTGTTTAGAACAATGTTTCGACGAACAAGTAGCAGTTCGAATATTCCGGTCGTGAAGGGTGACTACAGAGCACGTTCAAAGTCCGTCGTCAGGTAAAAAAAATTACCTTGTAACAACATCTCTAATTGATTTTTTAAGAGTAAGCACAAAGGATGATGGTAACAAAAAAGCCCGGGCAAGTTCCATGGATCGTACCTTAAATCCGCTCACAAAAAGATCAATGAGTTCCTCAAATTTGAAACGCCCATCAGTTACTCCTTCAGTACGTTTTTTGTCAATTTTTACTCAATTTTCACTCAATTGATTGTAGGTGTCTTATAAAAGATCAACAACGGGCTTGACACCGACTCTGGTAACACATTTAATTGAATTTCGATGAATTATGTCCTAAATTATTTATTTCAGGGTTCTGGGTTCAAAAGATCGAATTCTGTGAGTATAAACACGCAAAAGTTATGTTTTTTACTTAAGTTGCATAGAATCTCACAACCCCCCGTTCGCGGAGCAAGTCCCCGTTCAAAATCGGTTCCGAGCGGTCCGTAAACGACAAAAAATGGGTCTCGGAGCAGTTTGCCAAAGTAAGTGGCCCCAATTTGGTGCCTCCATGAAAGCGTCAATGTTTCAGGTACGGGCGTTTCTTCAAGAACACCCCAAATGTCCCGAGCACATCCCCAACAACCTCAAACCAACGACAATAAACTCATTTGTGACCGCTTTCAACCTCTTGTTCAAGGAAATTGACCCTCGATTTGAGATCAACACCACGAATTACAAAGACATTGTGTTGAACACACTGAAAATTTACCAATTTCCCGGAACCATTTCACTTTCATTGCTGAAAACTGGTAATTTTGTTTTTTTTTTAGTTTGATTTTTTTTATTTTTTTTTTTTAGTGAATACAATGCATGCTTGGCCTCAAGTAATCAGTATTTTTGCATGGCTTGTCGACCTCATCACTTACATAAACCAAACAAGCACGTTTGTTAGTCCCGATTTAGAGCAAGACCTCAAATACCAAAAAATTGAGGTAATTTAAAAATTGTAAAAACTTGTGATAATTTTCTGTTGTAGTGTATTACGAATTATATCTTTGAGAGATACCAACTATATAACAAAGACGAAGATGAGAAAATTGCAGATCGGGCAGTGGGGCAACAACTTTGTAAGTTGCATTATCAAAATTACAGTTTCCTGTAATTTTTTTGTAGCAAAAATTCTCAATATTGATGAGGAGGAGCACAAGAGAGTGCAAGAGGAGGTTGCCAAGTTGTCACAGCTTAAAGAACAGCGTTTGGGGCAGATCGAGGAACAAAAACACAAAAACGAAGTCAGTTTGACAATTGACGTTTGAATTTGACAGTTTATGTTGCCAACTTAATTTTTTTAGATGCTTGAAAAGGAGATTGCGCGACTGCGAGAGGAGACTGAATCGTTCTATAGAGACAAAGAGCAGAGGGAAGAAATGATCCATGATTCAATTAATTTATTAAAGGAACGAAAGGAGAAATTGGGTATTTGTCCCTTTCATTTATTATTTAAAACACTTACACCATTTTGTAGTCGCTTTAATTAAAGCAAAACGGGAGAATGTCGAGTCACTGAAGAAGAAAATTAATACCCAACCTTGCACAATCAGGGAGAAGAAGAGAATCTTGGAACACATTGAAGAAATGAAGCACACAATTGATCTGAAAAAAGAGAAATTGAAAACCCAGAAAGCCATCGAAACTGAATATCATTCACAATTGAAGGAGGCGAAAACTAAAGTATGATTTTTTTTTTTCGTTGAAGATTTTCACACAAGATTTTAGGTCATAAATGAAGTTTACCGCTTGAATCACAGCTTAATGAAACTCACTGTGATAGAACCAAAACTTAAAGTCCTGAGTTTGAACGAAAACTCCGATTTTTTGTCAAACGAGTTTCAAGAGGATGTGGAAAACCTCCCGGAGAAAATTAAGTCGCTTGAAAACACGATCAACGACGAAATAAAATCAAAGAAAACTGCAATTTCTGAAATGAAGTCCCAAATTGCTTCAGTGGAAGCGCAAATTGTCTCAGACAAGCAAAAGCTTCAAGGGTTGATCGAAAAGGAAGCTTCCCTCAAGGACCAGATCCAGCTTCTCGAGCAACACTTCGAGAAGGTAAGGTGGCAACACTAAAGTGGCGGCCATGACAGTTCATGTTACCAACTTTTAGATCGAGAAACAACGAAGCGAGGAAAAGACACTTTTTGAGCAGAAGATGAGGAGATTCGACGAGGATGCTCCACCACTTGACGAGCTTAAACGCGACGTTGATGAACTGAAAAAAATGTATGTAGATTTGTTTCTAGTAATGGGAAATACTTTTTTTTTGTTTTTAGTAAAAAAGAGAAAGAAGAAACGTTGGAAAAGCATAAGTATGAAGCACTTGTGTTTTTTGCTAAAGTGGAAGAGGAAGTGTCGAGTTATGTTGAAAAAATGAATGTAAGTACTATTTGTTTTACTGTTCATAGGAGTATTGTTTTTTTGTTTTTTTTAGAACGTGCGAACTAAAGTGCTCGATAAGCTTACGGGGAGCTTGGAACAGACTATAAAAGTCCAACAGGAGATAATCGACGACATGCTGAAACTAGAAGAAATAAGAGAAACAGAAGAGTGATTATGTTCTTCAAAAATTTATTCATTTATTTTTGGTTATTATTTGTATTTGTTATTAAATGAAATAAATAAATTTTCACTGACATTTAATTATGTAATAGAAAACTAGAAATATTCTTCGATTTAATCTACAGAAATACCACTGGAAATACCTTTTTTCCATCTTCGACGAACTATAATGTATTGTTGGTTGTATACTCCCAATTTTTAATAAAATTAAAATACCCTGCGATCGAAAAAACAATAAACTAGAGTAGGCGTCGATTAAATTCTACAGTTGGCAACACATTGGTTGGGAATCTGGGCACACAAAGTGAAAATGACCATTCACCGTTTTCGTCTGTACACACCAAGAAAAATTTTATGCTCTAAAGTGAACATTATTTCACTCAAAAGGAATAAAACGCAAACTTGTCAAAGTTTCCGCTGACATTTGATGTCAAAAATCAGGATTGCCATCTAAAATTGATGTTAAAAATCAGGAATGCTATCCTTGAAATTGATGTCAACAAAAAAAAGTTTTCTATCTTCTGGTGGTTTGCAACCTTTACTGTCGCTCATTGTGAATTCAAGACAAACATTTTTTTACGATAAGTAACGTTTCATTAAAATTGATAATTTTTTTTTATTTTAACTTGCTACCTGTCCAGCAGAAAAAAAACTAAATTGTAATAAATTATTTATTTTTAATTTTTTTGAGTTATTTGTTACAAAATATACCGGGTGTCCCAGGCAGGCTGGGATATAGGAAATGTACATGGGAAATTAGTTTTTATTTTTTTCCGACTGCAGGAGTAACAGAAATCAAAATCTGATTGAGGGAACTTGTAGTGCTCGAAAAGGGCTATCTTATCGACATTTTTGTCGATTCTCCAATTAACTTCATTTGGGCGAAAACGGCCCTCGAAAAATGGAAATTTGAATTTGCCGCGTTAGCGTTACTAAGAAAGGAACTGTCAAGTCATTGTTGCCAACAGAGATAGCCCTTTTCGAGCACTATAAGCTTCATCAATCAGATTTTAATTTCTGTTACTCCTGCAGCCGGAAAAAAATAAAAACTAATTTTCCATGTTAATTCCCTATATCCAACCCTGTCTGGGACAGCCGGTATTGTACCTAACTTTGGAAAGCAATTTTCCAATTTCTGCAACCCGAGTCATGTAGTTGGCAGCACCTAGCCCGCCATGTTTGGTTTTTTTAAAAATAATTTCTATTATTTTATCTTCGTTATTGGTATTATTAAATGAAATAAATAAAATTGGAATCAAACGCCACTCAATGTCATTTATTTGCATAATCACATTTCCCTTAAATAATAAGTTCGGACAAACAGTGACAAGAAAAAATAAACAATAAATAAAATCCGACGTAAAAAAGCTCACAATCAATAACACAAAATATAATCACTTTGAAAATAATTTAAAAAAACAGCTACCTAGATATTAAAACCTAACCCTAACACAGAGTACGTTCAAAATTCGTCTCGAATTAAATTCTCGACAACTGTTGCAGCAAATTCGCCGGCAACATACTCTCAATTTTCTCATAGACGTAATAGACTGGAGTAGAGAGCCAACTGAGGACCGCTTTGGCAACAACCCCCATCGGTTCGGGGTACTGATGAGTCAAGAGCGTCAACAGCGCCGTGAAGGAACACAACCCCGCTGTAAAGATAATAAAAAACGGCAACTCCTTCTTGGGGTAGACTGAGACCTCGTGGAAGGCCGGCAAGAGTTCGCGGTCGGCGCATTCCGTGCACGTGGGGTAGGGGTAGAAGAGGTGCCCGCGCTCGAGGGGGTACGGCAGCATCCTAAAGGTGCCCTCCCACGTGCAATGCAGCAAATTGAGCGCCCCATCCACGGCCTTCCAATGCGCCAGGTGGAAAAACGTGTAGGCGATGGCCTCCGAATCGCCCCGCTTCAGCACATGCTCGGGGGGCAAAATCAGGGGCTTCATCTCGAGGAGGTATTTCGGCACATGGGGGTTGAATTCGACGGCGCGGTGGATGGCCTCCACGGCGGCCATTTCCGCTGGGTTTAGCCCCCGTTTGCTGGCGATGTCCGGGGAGAACTTGTCGGCGACTAGACGGGCTTTGAGGAGGGCGGCCGTGTAGCAAATCGTCGCGGATTTGGGCAAGGAGATGTCGTCGTATTTCGCCAACACGGCCTGGACATCGGCGTAGGCTTGCATCTCGAGTAATGCCTCGATCAAGTTTTCGTGAATGTTTAAAACGTTCATTATTGGAGGGACTTCTTTGGTTAAATCACGGAACATCTTCACCGCCTCTTTCAACTTGCCCAAACGACGCGCACACATTGCCAACCTGCACCAAAAGTCACATTTTTAATTAAAATAAAAATTACCTTTTCCCATCCTTGACGAGTCGACTATGCACAAAACTTCTTATAGTTGCTATGGAAGCATACTGAGATATGTGTGAAACCATGGTAACAAACGATAATATAACATGTACACCAGTGGCGGGTAAACATTTTTTAAGTAAGAACGGTTCCAGATGTTTATTAAAAAGAAAAAATATGTTTGATAATTTCAACCAACCAAGGTTTATTTTTATTTTATTTTTTAAATGGCAATAAAAAACCTTTCGTGTAGTTAATAATTATCAAAAATTTAATTCAATAAACTTATTTTCTTGTCTGAATTTTTTATTTTTTTTTTATTATTAAGAAAACTTGCTTTTTATTTAAAAAAAAGAAATAACCTTTTTGCCACCCTCGTCGTGTGGAATATTCAGAAAACTTCATTAAGTTGCTATGAAAGCATACTAAAATATAGATAAAACCATGGTAACAAACGTCGTTATATTAATAATGTGACAATTAGACCAGTGGCTGGTAAGAATTTTTTAAGCATGAACGGTTCCAAATAAAGAATTATTAAAAAGAAAAAATGTTTTCGAAAAGTTCAACGAACTAAGGGTAGTTAGTAATTAACAAAACTTATTCTCTTATCTAAATTTTTAAGTTCAACGAACCAATGATTGAAAAAGATTTATTTTTGTTTATTTTATTTTTGTTTATTTTATTTTAATTTTTCATTTATTTTAAGATATATGTGTAACTCTAAAAAACCTTTAGTGTAGTTACTAATTAACAAAAATTAAATTCTATGAACTTGTTCTCTTTTTCGAATTATTAATTTTTTAATTACTAATTGAATTTTTTTTTCATTATGTAACAGAAACTTAGAAATATTTTTTTTATAAAAATAGTAATCTTTTTCCCATCTTCGACGAAACTACTATGCAAGAAACTTCGTATAGTTGCTATGAAAACATAGAAACAAACGACGTTATATTAATAATATGACATTTAGACCAGTGGCGGGTAAACATTTTTTAAGCATGAACGTTTTCAGGTAATTATCAAAAAGAAAAAAATATTTTTCATAAATTCAACAAACCAAAAATTGAAAAAGATTTATTTTTAGCTTAAAGATTTATAACATTTTAAAAATATAGCCCCAGTAAACCTTTCGTGTAGTTAATAATTAACAAAAATTAAATTCTATGAACTTGTTCTCTGAATTATTTTTTTCATTATGTAATAAAAAACTGGTAAATTTTGTTATAAAAATAAAGTAATAACTTTTTTCCTATCCTCGACGAGTCGACTATCCAAGAAACTTCGTATAGTTGCTATGGAAACATACTGAAATATGTATGAAACCATGGAAACAAACGTTATATTATGACATATACAGAATGTTCCAAAAGTCTGGAAACGATGTTATTCTGGCGAAACTATCAAATTTTTTGTCAAATAAATTTATAAGTGTGCAATGGCTATAAAAATGCTATTCAAAAAAAATTTTGAATATTAGTTATTTGTTTATACTTACATGATAAACATAGTAACATTGTTTTTTTAAATGAAAACCTACCACAATTTTTTTTAGACAACGGGCTTGTTACAAGAATTGTTGCCATGCAATTTTTTTTTTGTAAACCTCGCACTTTTTTGTTAAAAAAATGTTTGACTTACAAGAATTAAAGAATTTTTTTGAGTAAACTACCAGTTTTTATGGAAATAAATTAATAAATGTTCAAAGGTTGTAAAGGAGCAATGCCAAAATATTTTTTATTTTAAATAAATGTTTAAACTTTTGAGATTACCATACTAATAATTTTTTTCTTAAATAAAAACGGTTTTTTATTTATTGTTTTACAAAGATATGTTTATGCATTTTATAAATGTACAAAAATATTTATTGAAAATAAACATATCTTTGTAAAACAATAAATAAAAAACCGTTTTTATTTAAGAAAAAAATTATTAGTATCATAATCTCAAAAGTTTAAACAATTAATAAAAATAAAAAAAAATTTGGCATCGCTCCTTTACAACCTTTAAACATTTATTAATTTATTTCCAAAAAAAACTGGTAGTTTACTCCAAAAAAATTCTTGAATTCTTGTTAAGTCAAACTTAACAAAAAAGTGTGAGGTTTACAAAAAAAAATTGCACAGCAACAATTCTTGTAACAAACTCGTTGTCTAAAAAAAAATTGTAGTAGTTTCCATTTAAAAAAAAAAGTTACTATGTTTATTTCCTAAGTATAAACAAATAATTAATATTCAAATTTTTTTTGAAAAGCATTTTTATAGCCATTGCTCACCTATAAATTTATTTGCTAAAAAAATTGATAGTTTCGCCAGAATAACATCGTTTCCAGACTTTTGGAACACACTGTATAACATTTGGACCAGTGGCTGGTAAATATTTTTATGTATGAACGTTTCTGACAATCACAAATTAAAAAAATATATTTTTGATAACTTCAACAAAGCAATAATTGAAAAAAAAACCTTTCGTGTAAATAATAAACAAAACTAGTTTTTTTGTTGTTAACTGTAGAAACGTTATTTTTTTGACATCCCTTTATTTTAATATTAAAAAATAAAAAAAATTACTTATAGCATAAATTTCACATTAGAAATAATGTAACAAACCTCCTTTTTATGTAAATTAGGACGTTGGTGTCACGCCGGTGCTGTGCCTCCATCAGACTCCCTTGATGTTGCAGCGCTTGCGATTTCCTATAGTTAGTTTCTGCCACTTTCAGTGCCTGTTTCAGGATTTTCTCGGCTTCAGTGATCGTCGTTGCTTCTTCTTCGGCCAACAAAATGTACGCAGGGGCGCACTCAGGACTCTTCTCCAAGGCATTATGTGCTGCTTTAATCCTCACCATGGGGTTCCTCTCCCGCCATGCAGTTTGCATAATCTCATACTCGGCTTTGCCTGCGTCTGCCTCGCACGTGAAGAACGTCTGGTGGTCCTGAGCCGACAAATTCATATCATAGTAGGTCAAGGGCTCCTTATTCGTCGCCCAATAAAATCTTTGGTATTCAGCCCCTCTGTACAAATTCAGCGGATTTCGCCACACTTTACACTCAGGAACGCTACTCTGCGAACTACTAGAGTTACTCGAGCCCCCATTCTCGTTACTGTCGACGCCACTGATCCAGGGGCTGATGTGATTGAGGGAAATTTGTTCGATGAAACTTGTGCCGTACTTACGGAAATACCACCATTCGAAAATGAGGATCAAACCGGAAATCAAAGACGAGGTTCCGGTTAATGCCACGTAGAATTTCGGGGTGAGAGTGCTCAGGAACATTGTGGAGTCCCACATCGTGAAATGTGAGGTTATGGCGGACAAACACTTAACTCCGGTGCGATTTTTTATATCATAACGGCGATTTGGGGGCTCAGGACCATACACCCAACGCGCCCATTAATAATTATGCAGAATTACTGGAATTTTGATGGATTTTGGTTTGGTGACGTTAAACGGTTGACATTTTGAAAACACGAGGGGGACAGGACAGGGCTGACAATATTGGAAACATTAATTGGTTACCGAAAAAATGATTATTTGGTGTTATAAACACGATTATTTTCAATAAGAATTCAGTCCAGTACGGGCCTGAGTAACTCTAATGACAACTCAGGAGCACCAACACACCTATAAACTAGTCAAACTTTTGCAAATTTTTACAATATTTTAGCACCTTATTGTTAAGTTAGTTACCTAAAGATAAGTCGAAATAATTAGTGCCATTTACAATGTGACTTAAGATTGGGGCCCGAAATAACTTTTTTGTACTTTCAGATGTGCTAACCCCGCCGCCATAGTTCCACTAAGGCCACCGCCTTAAAAATCTACGATGTTAATCGAAAAATCCTTTTCTGGAAAGATCAAACCGTTTTTATTAAAGAAACTCCTCGCTTTTTTTTAATTTGCTGTTAAGAAAAAAAAACATGTTTAATTGTTTGAAGCAAAATTGTTTTTTGTGATTACAAACATGATCATTTTCAAAAACTATTTGAGCCAGTACGTCCTTGACAACTCAGAAGTACCAACACACTAAAGTAACTAAATTTTTGTAAATTTTCTATTTTTTTTGACTATATTGTGGCATATTGCTAAGTTAATTGACTCAAGATAAGTCGTAGTTAGTCTATATTGACAATATACTTAAAATAGAGGTCTGAAATGATTTTTTTTGGCCATTCAGTTGAGCCAACCCCGGCGCCAATTCCACTAAAGTCACCTCCAAAAATGTAAACATTGAACCCAATTGTCTAATTAAAAAATTTTAGTGCCTTAAAAATCTACGATGTTAATCGAAAAATCGTTTTCAAGACAAATTCACAATTTTTGACAGGATGGAACTTGAAATTTTGGAAAGATCAAATCGTTTTTATTGAAGAAACTCCTCGCTTTTTCATTTTTTTTTTATTTGCTGTTAAGCTGTTAAGAAAAAAAAATACATTTAATCGTTTGAAGCAAAATTGTTTTTTGGCATTACAAACATGATCATTTTCAAAAACTATTTGAGCCAGTACGTCCCTGAGTAATTGATGACAACTCAGAAGTACCAACACACTAAAGTAACTAAATTTTTGTAAATTTTCTAATTTTTTTGACTATATTTTGGCACCTTGCTAAGTTAATTGACTCAATATAAGTTATAGTTAGTCTAAGTTAACAACATATTTAAAATTGGGGTCTGAATCGATTTTTTTCGGCATTCAGGTATGCCAACCTGGGCGCTAATTCCACTAAAGTCACCTCCAAAAATGTAATCACCTTTAAAAATTTGAACACAATTAGTCCGATATGTGACCAAATCATTTAAAGAATTTTAGTGCGTGAAATCTCCACGATGTCTCGTCAATTGAACGGTTCTGTGACTCCAGAGAAGAGGTTAGGTCAAAACTCGATCGTGCAGCCCCTTTTGACCGACTTGTACCAAATCACTATGGCTTACGCTTACTGGAAGTCGGGGAAAATCCAAGACTACGCTGTTTTCGACCTTTTCTTCCGCAAAAACCCCTTCCAGGGCGAATTTACAATTTTTGCAGGCTTGGAAGAATGTGTCAAGTTTCTCGATAAATTCTCGTATTCCAAGAGCGACATTGACTACATCCGCCAGATCCTGCCCCCCACCGTCGAGGAGGAGTTCTTCACGTACCTCACTACACTCGACGCCCGTGGGGTGTCTCTCTACGCTATAAAAGAAGGCAGTGTTGTCTTCCCCCGAATTCCACTCCTGCGCGTCGAGGGCCCCCTCATCGTGGTCCAACTCCTAGAAACCACCCTCCTGAACCTCGTCAATTACGCCAGTTTAATTGCAACAAACGCCTCGCGCTACAGAATGGCCGCAAACAAGTTGAAGTTGTACGAGTTCGGGTTACGGCGCGCCCAAGGCCCGGATGGGGCCCTCTCGGCCTCCAGGTACACCTACATTGGGGGCTTCGACGGCACGAGTAATGTCCTAGCTGGGAAACTGTTCAATATCCCGGTGAAGGGCACCCACGCCCATTCCTACGTCACCTCGTTCAATAATCTCAGTGAGCTGGTGATAAAAACCCTAGTGCCGAAAAATGGTGGCAAGCCTGTTGATTTTCTTGTATTGGCAACGAAATGGCGCGAGGATTTGGTTTCAATCTTCAATGTTATGCTATCGGAGGTGAATGATGGGGAATTTGCGGCTTTTATCTCATTTGCGGTCTCGTTTCCTGATAATTATTTAGCACTAGTTGACACTTATGATGTCAAAAAGAGCGGTTTGGTGAATTTTAGTGCCGTTGCATTGGCTTTACTCGACTTGGGGTATTCCCCTATAGGGATTCGGTTAGATAGTGGCGACTTGGCGTATTTGTCTGTAGTCGCAAGGAATGTTTTTGGTGAAATTAGTGTGAAATTTAAACGTCCCCAATTTTCCAAATTACTCATCATGGCCTCCAATGATATAAATGAGGAGACTATTTTGAGTTTAAACGAGCAAGGGCACCAAATCGACGCGTTTGGTATAGGCACCCATCTAGTGACTTGTCAAAAACAACCAGCGTTGGGTGGGGTATACAAAATGGTCGAAATTAATGGTCATGCGAGGATTAAATTGAGTCACGATGTGGGGAAAGTCACCATTCCTGGCCGCAAAGACGCCTATAGATTGTATGGGGACAACGGGAATGCGCTCATTGACCTATTGCAAATCTCCTCAGAGGCGCCCCCAAAAGTTGGGGAAAAGGTCTTGTGTCGGCACCCGTTTGAGGAGTCCAAACGGGCATTTGTCACGCCGTCGAAAGTCGAGAAATTGCTGTTGTTGTATTGGCAAAACGGGAAGATTTGCCAACCGTTGCCCAACATGCAGGAGATTAAGGAGCGAGTTGTGGATAGTTTGAAAATTTTGAGGCCGGATATTAGGAGGACGCTGAATCCGACGCCGTATAAAGTCGCTGTTAGCGATAATTTGTACCGGTATTTGCACGATTTGTGGCTGGAAAATGCCCCCATTGGGGAGTTGGCGTAGGGTTAGACTAGTATTTTATATAACATTCTGTATTTTTCATTATTTTTTCATGGTATATTGTTTATTATAGATTATAAAATAAAGCTTTATCTTGCGTAGACTTGTTTTAGTTCTTTTTTTTAGGTAAATATGATTGTCCTAATATAGTTCATAAAGAAGTACTTTACGGACACTTACGTGAAATGACAAAAAAAATTGGATGGCATAGTTTGAAAATGTGGGGAATTTAAGCTTCTCAAGTTTTAAACTATATTTATGACTATAAGGCTCGGATTATATGCAAAATGCATATTTGTTATTAAGAGGTATATCAACAAAATTGTAAGTTTTCTATGTATATCTAATATTTTTTGATTTATATAAGCCAAATAAAAAACGCATATTTTGGCAACTTTGTGCATATTTTAGGAAATACTGCATATTTGTGCATATTTTCTTCAAATCACAAATTTTCGATTAAAAATTTCAGTTCAAGTTAAAATTTAGACAGTTTAAGAAAAATGATCCGATTAGAAAATATTTTAAAGAGAAAACAACCGGTAATTTGTAAGCCGGACTCAAAAAATTAGTATCCTGCTGACTGTTTCCTTTTTAAATTTGTTTTATACAGGGTGAATGTAAAGTATTGAACCAAGCGGTTTTTTTAATCATTTGTTTCCAAAAAATAATAATGAATACTCCTATAAATTAAAGCAATATTAAAAAGTGATTTTATTTTTAGATCAAAATTTTGTTTTGTTTTTGAGTTATTCGATTTTTGTTGTCAATATTGCAATTTATAAAAAAATTAATTTAATATAAAATAGATAATTGTAATCCCTTAGAAAATGACCTTTATGAGAAAAATGTTTTTTTAGTGGGTTGCCATTTAAAAAAAAATATTTTTGTAGAACTGGAAAACAAATAAAAATTTTGAAAAATTTTTTTCTTGATAAAACATCACATTTTTATAGTACATACTTTATCAATTAGTTTTTCCAAGAAATAAATACTTTAAGCAAGAAACGGTTGGTTCCATACTTTCTATTCACCTGGTATAAAATGATTAAATCCATCTATGGGGATAAGTAGTTGCCTGCAAATGAATTTTAACAAAATTGTTTAAAGTGAGGTGATCTGAAAAGTAATAAAAATTTATTCCAACTTTGATTGTTTATTGTTAAAAGTTTTGCATATCGATGCATTTTTGGCAATTTTGGCGTATATTGGAGCATATTTATTAATATCCTGTGCATATTTTTGTTATAATACGTGCATATAGAGTGCGCCAGAACTCGCGCCCCAGAGAAAAATGTCATTTAAGATACCAGGAACATGAAAAAAAGTATTAAAAAAATTTTATCTATAAAATTTCGAAGTTATGAGAGTTTAAACTTTGCACTTTGACTGTATTTATTTCAGTTGGAAAAATAATTTTCAAAGTTTTTTTGCTATAGGCTATTAAAAGAGGAAACAAGGAATCTGTATCTAAATTGGAACTCTGTTCAATGTTATTTGTGGCTTTTATTGTCAAAATTTTTGTCCCTTTACTAAATAATTGTAAAAAAACATATACAAGATCATCAGTATCATTAAATAGACATAAAAAAAATGTCAAAATTTTTTGACAGTTAGAATTTTTGAAACATTTTTTTAATGTTCCTGGTATCTTACCTTACTTGAAAATTTTCTCTGGGGCGCGAGTTCTGGTGCATCCTGTATATATTTGCATATTTTACAAATTTTTCGTGCATATAATCCGAGACTTACTTATGAGTTATGACTCTTATGAGGCGAGATAAAAATTATGAAGACACTTAATTAAACAATGCGTTAGAATGGATTTTGTGCCATTTGGTCCTTTTTTATCAGAAATGGTTTATCTTTGAATTAAAACTTTGTTTTTCACCAGTTGTCAATTAAAGTTGGTAACTGCAAAACACTAATAAAATTTATTATACGCCAAATTGACTATGTGATAAGTAAACAAAAGCGTAGATTGGCAAAACTAAACACGGTTTTTAAGCGCCAATCATTCATTTCATGCATAAATTATTAATTCTTATTTCCAAATTTATCAATGTCGCCAATAGGAGCAGCACACTTCTGAAACTCCCCAAATGTTGGCAACCATGCAATGGGTGTAACTGTCGTTGTTGACTACAGCTTGAGTCATCAGAATGATTTGATTAAATTATTTTCAATTTTTCATTTGCAGTGTACACCAAGTGTTAGTTTATTAAATTTAAACAATTATTTCGCATCAAATCGTGGAATGTAGTAATGGAAATCACGGTTTTTCTTTGTTTCGTTTTGACTCTGCTTGGACAACGTGTGTTTGCAGGTAAGTTTCAACTTCAACTGTTATTAAAATCACTGATAACTAGACAAGACACTGATAAGGCGTAGATAAGAGCTTTTTTATAACCTTAAAATTATGTAATTTCACCTCAATTTTTTAATTGGAACCAGTTTGAGCATTCTATTTCGGCTAATGTAAATAAGGATGTGTATTTCATCGTTTTTATTGAGTTTTTTCGAATCTGTTTATGTTTAGCATTTGATAAATCGGTTCACGGGGTCACAAATTTGAATTTCAAACAATTATTGTTCCCCGATCAAGACTGCTGTGAAAAAATTCGTCACCACTGTTGGCCGTGAAATTATGTCAAAACTTTTTGATTTCAGACTTTTACAACGAGTATGAGTGCAACAACCCGTTGCTGCACCGTGCCGTTTTGAAGGCCACCTCGTCGATGTCAAAACGGGGCCCCGAGAACGCCGTCTTGTGGGGTAAGTGCGACCCTCACCCATCGTGAAAACACCCATGGAATGGTACTGTTTAGGTGGGTTTTAAACCGCAAAATGTCGAATAAGGGGGTCCGTTGGGCGTTCAATTTATCCAAATGGGAGCCCTCCCACGCGGACATGTTACTAGCGACGTCTTGCGTCCAAGTCGAGGAGAAAGAGCGCTTAGGGAAATTTGTTTTTAAAAATGACTTTAAAGCGTCGTTAATTGGGCGTTTATTGATGAGGAAATACGTTAATGAAACGACTGGACTCAAATATGACGAGATTAGATTCGGGCGGGACGAAAAGGGGAAACCGTTTCTTATAAACAGCCCCAGTCATATAAGTTATAATGTGTCGCATCAGGGGGGCTATACGGTGTTGGCTGGGTGTGGTACCGGGGGGTTGTTGGGGGTGGACGTGGTTAAAGTGCAGTTTCCGAGGGGTAAAACTCTAAACGAGTATTTCAGGACAATGTCGAGGATTTTTTCGGGGGTTGAATGGGAAAAAATCAGGAGTCAGGGCAGCGAAACGAGTCAGTTGGCGATGTTTTTCAGACATTGGTGTCTGAAAGAGAGCTATCTGAAAGCTGTAGGTGTCGGAGTGACGATAAATTTGCAAGATGTTTGTTTTAAAATAAATTCGGATGTTTTGAGCAAAGATCGGCTTGTTGATGATACAGAGGTTTATTTTCGAGGGGAGAAATTGGATTGGGAGTTTCAGGAGATGCTTCTGGATGAGGAGCATTGCGTTGCTGTTGCCTCAGAGTCCAACACCGGCGAGAAAATTCTGTTCAAAGAGATCGATTTTCACGAAGTGATGAAAAATGCAGTTTCACTCTTAGACCCCGATGAGAATTATTGTACCAGTTTTTTTAACAAGTGTGACAAAATTTAGAAATAAAGTGGGTTTTGGAAGTTTTTGTTTGATTTTTTTCGTACCATTCCAGGGTATTTTTACGAGGGTTGTGTAACGATTTGGTACCATTCGTAGTATGGCACAATATTTTAATTTAATGTCCCGATTGCATGCAATTTGATTAGTTTGTCAAGTATTGATTGCATGGAAACACTTTTATTAAGTTTGCGTAAGAATGTCTATGTGGGAGAAACGCTTCTTTTATTAAAAAAAAGAAACATTTTATGTGTGTTTTATTCTTATTGTTGGTAGTGATAAACAAGTAGTTTTTTTTGTTGTGTTAAGTGTGCCATGACTTTGACATTAAGTTGGAAACATGAGCTGTCAAATTCAAACGTCACACTTTTGGTGGTCGTCACCAATTCAATCAATTCATTGTTGCCAACTTAATTTCATTTACAGGTCACTTTGATCTGAAATGTATTTGAAAGCTAGGGCCGTTATAATAGTGATTAAATAGGTCAATTTTTATTCTGTATTAGGGCTAATTAATTGCGTTATTTTACATACAAGTTTAAAGCCCGAACGTGCAGCGAGGGTTTTTAAATACCCGAGAGCTGATTTATCTAATTTTGATTTTAAAATTAATAAAAATTTTAACAAATTTATCGCGTTGTACAATTATTAAGGAGAATTTGAAAAAAATCTCGGTTTACTAGCAATTTTTTGTGGCAGATTACATTAGCTTGTTTATTTGTTTTTTTGTAACTTTTTTATCAATATTGTTTTCAAATCTTCAAAGTATAACGCGCGAATAATTAAAATAAATAAACAAAACACAAAGTTTGGTTCTTGTAAAACGTTTGCAAGGTTTTGTTCCCGTTTTTATGTTACAACTTGTCTAAAATAGTTTAATATTTGAAAGTTTTTATCGTGTGATTGTTGTAAAAGTGCCAAAACTGACAAACAGTAATATGAAAATTGTCAATTCAACGTTTTTGTTGAGGTGGCGTTTGCTTTCATTTTTTTTTGGTTGCAGTATAAATATTGAGAAAAAATAAATACTTTTTTCTGAAATCGTCTATAAAAAGAACGAAATAGTCCTTAAAGTGGTACTTTTAAATCACAATCAACTATGAGAAAAATTAAAAAATTACAAAAAAAGACGGTAACCAACATACATTTTTATAGCACGTTTATTTTTCACCAATATTTGTTTTATTTCTGAAACACGATGTATACAGGGAAAAAAGAAATTGTTTTCTAAAAAATGATGTAAAAAAAACGCGCTTCAAAAATATTTTTTTATAACCCAAAAAATTCTGGATTGTTATAAAGTCGCAGTATTTTTTTAGTTGCGCCCAAATAACGTTTTTGAAAAAGAAAATATTTGCATTTTTAGCATTTTTTATTAAAAAATTAGATTTTTATTTTTTTGTTTCGTGCAAATTTTTTTCAAACGTTTTATTTTTGAATTACATTTAAAAAACTTATTATTTTTTTTGGAGTCGTGTGTAAATTGATTGAAATAGTCTGTAAATTAATGCAAAATAGTCCGTAAACTGGAACTTTTCTGTACTCAAATGTCACTAATTGATATCGTCGTTGAAAAAATTACGATTTCAGAAAAAAAACATAATTTTTACTTCAACAATAATAGTTATTTTCTTAAGTAGATATAATGCTTAAAAAAATTACACTTTAATATTAATTTTTTATTAATTAGGGAAATGAAATATTAAAATATTATTTTACTAGGCTTTTTTTGTGTTTTTAAAAATATTAAAAGAAATAAAACACCCTGTAATATGAAAAATGTGTATAAAACCTCTGTTAAATGTATAGTTAGCAACAGCACATCAATAATTGGTTTTTATAGTAACAAACGTTTTAAATTATTGAGTACGTTTTCTATCTATAAGTGATTGTCCGGCACGTATGATTTATGAATCACCCTGTATAGAAATCAAATAAATAAATAAAAAAAAACATTAGGTTGTACAAAAAGTTTTTTTAATTTAAAAAAATTACAGAAATTTATGTTCTTTCTTGGCAGTGGAAGTTTAAAAAATAGTTTTTATGGTAATTAAGATAGACAGAGTGTTTATTAATGGTTATAGAACAAACTACTAAAAATGGGATATAAGAAAATAGTTATTTATTCGACGAGTTTGAGTGTAAATCGGACTCTTTATTTGACCGAGTGGATTTTCAAATCACTCAAACGAATGGAATACAACATTTTATTCTTCGAATTAGAGTCAACAAGGCTTAAACTTGCTTTAAATCTGTTAAAAATAATTTGACGTTTTGCATTGAGAAATGCCAAACAGTTTTTTTATACAAATAACTACTACCATTCAGTTTTGAAAAAGTGAAATGTCAAATTATGTTATTTATTAATGAACATTTTTGTTGGATTTTTTTCACTGATTTTTTTTTACACAAATTTACTATTTTTTTGTAATTGATATATTTTTTTAATGCCGTTGAAATTAAAAATAAATAAAAGGAAGCAAATACTGTTGTATGTTATTTAAATAGTTGTCAGTTTTGGTTTCAAATATTAGCAATAGATCAAAAAAAAAGTTTTTCCAAATAACGCAAAGATATACGAAAGTGTGCCTTACTACGACCATATCAGCAAGTAACTTAAATTCCGGCTAACTTACGAAGGTGGCAATGCATGGAGTGCCGAAGAGAACGATTTTGACCAACACCTAATCGTTGATTTGGGCGAAGTAATGAACGTAACGAGAATCTGGACCCGTGGTAGACCCCATAGCAATGAATTTGTCATGGAATACACTATTAGTTATGGTACTAACGGTTTAGATTATGCAGACTACAAAGAACCTAGTGGTAATGCAATGGTGAGATATGACCCATCATATTTTTTTCTTCTGTTTAATCATGGGCGTGCACTCTTATTAACACCGCATGTTTGTGACTGTAGTCGTGCTAATTTTTCCTACTAAAAATCCGCAATTAACAAACCCACTTGGCTATAGGATCCTCGGCTTGGAGCCCCGAAGAAAGCACATATTTTCACTTTCTAACAATGGATTTAGGGGGCCCATTTGAGATCCGTTCGATAAGTACTCAAGGCCGGAGAGGCTCCAACGAGTACGTTACCGAATATGTTATACAATTTTCCGACGATGGGGAGGCGTGGAGGAGCTTTACTGATGGTCAAGGAGAAATCGAGGTGCTTCTCTCTTGCTTTTCTTTTAACTTTCTTTTGGTGGTGATGGTTTCAAAAGATTTTTTTCTAATTTTCATTTTGTAGATGTTCACGGGCAATTCTAATGGTGATTCGATACACAAAAACGAATTCGAAGTGCCCATAATTGCCCAATGGATTCGCATAAATCCGACCAGATGGCGTGATCGTATATCCATGCGTGTGGAGCTCTACGGCTGCGATTATGGTGGGTTTTGATACATTTAGTTTCTTTCCAACAGGGAATAAAGTGAGGCTTTATTCCCTTTTAGTTTTTTTCACTACTAGTTGTATTTGGTTTGTCGAGTTTATAGTGTCAGAATTCATGGTCTAGAGAAAACCATTTGACATTTGACATTTTTTATGTCTATTTAATGATACTGATGATCTTGTATGTTTTTTTTTTATAATTATTTAGTAATTGAACAAAAATTTTGTCAATAAAAGCCACTAATAACATTAAACAGAGTTACAATTTAGGATACAACTTCTTTGTTTCCTAATAGCCTGTAGCAAAAAATATTGGAAAATTATTTTTCCCACAGAAATAAGTACAGTCAAAGTTCAAAATTTAAACTCGCATAATTTCGAAATTTTTATAGAGAGAATTTTTTTAACATATTTTTCATGTTCTTGGTATCTTACCTTACCTTTTTTCTGGGGCGCGAGTTCTGGCGCACTCTGTATAGTCATTTTCATTATTGACCAAGGGCAATAATGGATTAAAGGTGGGTAAATACCGATATTGGAGGGTATTACATTAACACAATTATACAGAGTGAACGAAAAGTAGCGCACAAAATCCATAATTTTATGGGTATTTTTTTTATTTCAGGGGATTCAGGGGTGTGTGATAACTTTTTGTTATTTAATATATTGACATACCGTTTTGAACAGCCGGTAGACCTACTTAAAGTGCACCATTTAAAAATACGTTTATTATATACAGGCTGTTGTATACAGGATGGCGAACCAATTTTTTTTTTAAATAGAACTATACAGGGTGTATCAGAAATATGTATGTGTATTAATTTTAACACATGAAAGAACTCTCCAAGTAAAACAATTTTTCTATGTATATAACATTTTGTAAAATTGTCATTAATTATTTTTATTGTTTTTCTTCATAATTATTTGTAATAAATAATCACAACAATGCAGTTCTTTTAATGTAGTTACGTTTCTATCACAACGAAAATATTTAGGAATTTTTAATTTGATAACCATAGGCGGGTATACGTTTTGATATGTTATCTCTTCCAAATTTTAAATCAAATTTGAAAGCTTTTATTGAAAAATTACAAACCGAAAAAATTTATTATTTATCGAGTTGTGTTACATGTTAAAATTAACACACGTATTTCTGATACACCTTGTATATTTTTAGTTTCTACGTAATAAAATAATGGTACTTTGTGTAAACTATTGTAGGGGTGTCTCTTTCCGTTTCGGAATTATTCAACTTTTTGTTATAAAAAAAAAACAAAAAAATCACTGCGTGGGCGGCTATGAATAATTTCCGAAAAAATTGCAAAAGAAGAATAGCTTGTAGTTTTAGCAAATAATCGACTTTTAATAGCTCAGTCATTTTATAGGGTATGCCAACAAGCAAAAAGTTAAATACGTCATTTTTTTTAATGAAACATCCTGTACGTATTTTTTTAATTTAGAATATTTCTCTAGAAGTAAAATAATAAGTAAGGTTATATTATTCACCGTTTTTTTTTCTGGGTAATAAATGTGCTAGTAGTGAAAAAAAATATTATACAGGTGCGCCAGAAGTCGAGCAACTCTATTTAATTGTATTTGTGGCTATTATTGGCAAAATTTTTGTACTTTTACTAAATAATTATAAAAAAAACATATACAAGATCATCAGTATCATTAAATAGGCATAAAAAATGTCAAATGTCAAATTTATTGACATCTTCCTTGAATTTTTTTTCTGGGTGGCGAGTTCTGACACACCCTGTATAAAGCACGGTAGAGAAGATTTATGTAGCCTCGCATTTATTATTTCCCTCTACTCTCTCCTCTACTTTGTGATAAAATATATGTTATTTGGGGGATTTACAGAGGCCGATCGTATGTATTTCAATGGAACTGCTTTGCTCAAGCTCGATATGATGCGGGATCCGGTGTCGGCGTCCCGTGAGAGTATTAGGTTTAGGTTTAAGACGGCTGTGGCGAATGGAGTTGTGTTGTACAGTAGGGGAACCCAAGGAGATTACATTGCTTTGGAATTGAGAGATAATCGAATGTTGCTTAAGATCGATTTAGGATCAGGAATTGTGACTAGTTTATGTGTTGGAAGTCTCCTAGATGATAATATTTGGCACGACGTTGTTATTTCACGAAATCGAAGGGATATTTTGTTCTCGGTTGATCGAGTGGTAGTCCAGGATAAGATCAAAGGGGAATTCAACAGACTCAACTTGAATCAAGCGGTAATTTTTCAAAAAAAGTACACCATGATTATAATTAATAACCATGATGATGTAGTTTTACGTCGGGGGAGTCCCTAATATTCAAGAAGGTTTAGAAGTGGTCCAGAATTTTACCGGTTGTATAGAAAATATCTACTTAAATGCAACAAATCTCATCAGGGAATTGAAACAAGGATATGAGTACTCGTATAATCCTGGGTTGCATTTTGAAAAAGTCAATACTTTGTACAATTGTCCGGTATGTTTGATAATTGTGTGTTTTTTGTGGATTATTTGGGAGTTTCAGGAGCCTCCGATTATTCCAGTCACGTTTTTAACGAAGAATTCTTTTGCGAAACTTAAAGGTTATGAAGGGATGAAGTCGTTGAATGCTTCGTTTGCTTTCAGGACGTACGAAAAGGACGGCTTGATGTTCTTCCATGCGTTTTCCACGTCAGGACATGTTGCGGTGAGTGGAAAAGTTCATTTATATGTATGTACAAAATGTGTCACTGTTTTAATTATTGATTTCAATTTTTTTATCGGAACTTACATAAAAATCTCGTAATTTACAAAACATAACATCATGATTCATAAGATTACAAATTAAGGTGAAACATGCCTATTTTTATGATAATGAAAAAAAAAGAATGTAAAAGAGACATAAAACAAAAAAAAACTTAACATACAATAAAAACTGAAAGATTTATTTATCAAACAAAATTAAAAGTTTATGAAGCGCAATTAAAATAAAAAAGTTGAGAAAAAATATAATTTGATTTGAAAGAAATATAAAAATAAGACAGTGACATTAAAAATATTGAAAACATCAAAAAAAATAAAAAAAAATCAAGAAAGATTAAACTAAAAAACAGAAATCAGAAACAAGGTTGTTAAAAGCAAATAAAAGTTAAGCAAAAATAAATTAAAATATATAAAAAAAAAACGGTTATTGAAGACGTGATAAAAAATAAAAATATTGGACAAACGAAAAAAAAATAGGGTCAAAAAATTGAAAACATGATTACAAAACCATAAAATACAAAATTATAAATCCAAAAGTAGGAAAATGTGTATCTACACATAGAAAATAAAAGAGTTGTAAATATTGAGGAATGTATTTTTTAGTGTTTTAAGTATTGATTAGTATCACAATTTATGATGAAACAAAGTTATACAACAAAAACTGAAAAATACAAGGTGATTCACGAGGAATAATGAGCCTGACCAAATTCTCGATGCAAGTTATTTTGCGACAACTGTAATGCTGGTTGCATCGAGAATTTGGTCAGGCTCATTATTACTCGTGAATCACACTGTATAATTATCAAACAAAATTGAAAGTTTATGAAGCAGAAAAAAAGTGAAACAAAAACAGTAAAATTTGAGTAAAAAGATGATTTGATGTGAAAGAAATGCAAAATGTAAATAAGACATAAAGACGTTGCAAGTATTGAAAAGGAAAAGGAAATTTGAGATAAAAATAAAGAGCGGAAATGAGGAGCAAGGAAGTAAAAATACTAAACATCAAAAGTAAAAAATTCAGAAAAACGATTATTAAAGAAGAGATAGAGACGTTCTAGAACTAGAAAACAAAAATATTAGACAAACGAAGAAAAAATATAATAGTTTGAAAAAGTAGAGTAGGTCAAAAAATTGAATACCCTAAAATACAAAATTCGAAAACAGAAAACAAGGGAGAATTAAAAATGTTACAATAATTGAGCAATCTAAATAAATACAAACGTCCATAGATAGACAAAAAAAGTACGGATTACATAAAAAATGTTTATTTCAGTGTTTCAAATTTAAGAATTTTTTTTTCAATTTATTTTATGAATACTAGGAGTTTTTTTAATCAATGAAGGTTTAAATATAAAAGCCAACAAAATCATAAACTCAAATTAATCAAACAGCGACTATATGTATATTATACAAGGTCATTATAAATGTTTGTAGCCCGAATAGGCTTATATTTGGATTTTTGCCACTCTGCTTCAGACATGAAACAAAAACGTGGCCAATGTAATTGACAGCTTAGAAACCTGTTAAATACATATTATTATAAAGCGGCACACGACAAATTTTACATTGGAAATCATGGCCAACTTCAATTTCAAGAATTTCACTTTTATACTGCACAGTTTTGTAATATTTGCATACGAAAAAAAAAACATTAAGTTTCTTTAAATATAACAATATTTTACATTAGAAAAAAAATTACTCTTAAAAGAGTAAGCAAATACTAAATTGGGAATTCAATTTTTAGTTTAGTTTTAAGTTTGGATAAATTTGGTCTTTCTCAATATTTGCATCTAAATAGTATGTATCACAGTAATGTACCAAATTCGAGTTTATTTTTGATTTACTGCAAGTCTAGCGAATTTTTGAAAACGATACTTTTGAGGGGTATTTTTAACGGTTTTTTGTTACCAGATATTTTGAAAATTATCCACTGCATTTTTTTAATTTGAGAATTTGTATTTTTTTATATCCTTAATCTAGAATTTTTTTAAGTTTGTACTAGAAACATTTCAATAGTTTTTTAGTCTTCGTCTTACTAAAAACAAAAAATAAACTGATTTTTGAGAAATTAGGAGTTAATAAATGTCTTTTTTTTTCAGATATTTTTAGAAGAGGGCAAAATCAAAGTAGAACTGATAACCTCTGACGTTTCCAAAATAGTTCTCGACAACTACATGGAGAAATTCAACGATGGCCGCTGGCATACTGTCGTATTAACAATCAGCGAAAATTTACTAATCTTCAATGTTGACTACCGCCCTATGAAAACCGTCCGTGTCTTGAAGATTAAAACCGGCGGTACTTATCTAGTCGCCGGTGGTGTAACCACCTCACTTGGTTACTCTGGCCAACCGATGCCCGGTTTTATCGGTTGTATGCGCACAATCGGCATCGACGGAAACTACCGATTACCAACCGATTGGACCAAAGGCGAATACTGTTGCGAGGATCAAGTCGTCTTCGACGCATGCCGAATGACAGATCGCTGTAATCCCAATCCATGTCAACATGGCGGTCTCTGTAAACAAAACGCTTTGGAATTTTTCTGCGACTGTAAAAATACAGGCTATGGTGGCGCTGTATGTCACACTTCAATTAACCCCCTCTCATGTCAAGCCTACAAAAACGTACAAGCTGTCAATCACAAAGCCGAGATTAAAATCGACGTTGACGGAAGTGGGCCTTTGGGACCGTTTCCGGTCACGTGCGAATTCTACGCCGATGGTCGAGTCGCAACCGTTTTACATCATAGTAATCAAGAAACCACTTCAGTTGATGGTTTTCAAGAACCGGGAAGTTTCAAACAAGATATACATTATGAAGCTGATGATGATCAAGTCGCTGCATTGATAAACCGGTCGAGTACTTGTCGACAACATTTACAATATGCTTGTCGTGGTGCTCGATTGTTTAATTCACCAACGGATGAGACTAGATTTAGTCCCTATTCGTGGTGGGTGTCTCGACATAACCAAAAGATGGATTATTGGGGTGGGGCTTTGCCCGGATCCCGGAAATGTGCATGTGGCGTTTCCGGGACGTGTGTAGACCCCACCAAATGGTGTAATTGTGATAGTAGTAATGATTACAATGCTGATAAGTGGTTGGTTGATGCGGGGGATATAACCGAAAAAGAGAACCTTCCAGTGAAACAATTGAGGTTCGGTGATACCGGAACCGCTCTTGATTATAAAGAAGGTCGCTACACTTTAGGCCCTTTAATGTGCGAAGGTGATGATCTTTTTAATAATGTTATCACGTTTCGAATCTCAGACGCTACGATTAATTTACCGACTTTTGATATGGGTCATAGTGGCGACATCTACTTCGAATTTCGAACAGCTGTCGAAAATGCTGTTTTATTCCATTCTAAAGGCCCATCTGACTTTATCAAATTGAGTATTGTCGGTGGTAATCAATTACAGTTTCAATATCAAGCCGGCTTAGGCCCTATGGCTGTCATTCGTGAAACGTCATATAAACTATCGGACGATAGATGGCACTCAGTGTCAGTCGAACGAAACAGAAAAGCCGCAATGATCGTCGTTGACGGGGCTTTGAAAGCCGAAGTGAGGGAACCCCCTGGTCCTGTCCGTGCCCTTCACTTGACCTCTGACCTTGTCATTGGTGCGTCAACCGACTACCGTGATGGTTTCACCGGTTGTATACGCGCCCTCTTGATTAACGGTCAACAAGTCGATTTGAGGAGTTACGCACGACGTGGGTTATACGGTGTAACCGAAGGTTGTATTGGGAAATGTCAAAGTAACCCATGTCTCAATAATGGCACTTGTTTTGAACGTTATGACAGTTACTGGTGTGATTGTCGTTGGACGGCATTTAAAGGTCCGATTTGTGCCGACGAAATTGGTGTTAATATGCGTCAAACTTCCATGGTTAAGTATGATTTTATGGGTTCGTGGCGGTCGACGATTGCCGAAAATATCCGAGTCGGGTTTACGACGACCAATGCGAAAGGTTTCCTTCTGGGCTTCTCGTCGACCATCTCCAAGGAGTATTTGACGATTATGGTGTCAAATTCGGGGCATTTGCGTGTGGTTTTCGACTTTGGGTTTGAACGACAGGAAGTTATCTATCCGGAGAAATTGTTCAATTTGGGACAGTATCACGATTTTCGGTTGTCGCGGAAGAATTCCGGTGCGACTTTGGTTCTCCAAGTCGATAATAATAAGCCAGTGGAGTATCATTTTAATATAAAAGCGTCAGCTGATGCTCAATTCAATAATATTCAGTATATGTATATTGGGAGGAATGAGTCAATGACTGAGGGTTTCATTGGTTGTATTTCGAGGGTGGAGTTTGATGATATTTATCCATTGAAGTTGTTGTTTCAACAGTCGGGGCCGGTTAACGTCCAGTCATTAGGAAGTGAGTGTTTTAGGAAGTTGAGGTGAGAGGTGTGCTAATTTTTGGTTTTTAGCACCGTTGACTGAAGATTATTGTGGAGTGGAACCGATAACTCATCCTCCTGATATTATCGAGACGAGACCACCGCCCATTGTTGATGAGGAGCAGTTGAGGAAGGCGTACAACCAGACGGATTCGGCCATTTTAGGAAGTAAGTAATTAATTATAAATGTTCAAAGAAATTAAATTATTTCAAAAATTTCGACTAATAAATTAAAGAAAATCTACATCTAAAAGCTTCAATTATAGGGTGTATGATTAAAAAAAAACATAACTTTGCATTGTCACTTTTTCGAAACACCAATTAATGGACTTTACCAACTCGTTGGGACACCTGTATAAGCATAAATTTAAATACATAAATAAATAACACTAGATAAAAAAATATGGATTTGATTTTTTTAAGCAACCACGAAACTTTTTCAAGCTTGTCAAGCATAACAAAAAATTTAAAACAATTGAAATATACTAAAACACCTGAAGTAAAAAAAAATATTTGCTATTAATTTTAATTTTTTTAAACTTTTCTCTCATGATAACGATACTTGTGTAAATTACTATAACTATTTTTATTTTGAAAAACTGACAAAGACGAAATATTATACTTTCAACATCTAAAATAATAAATAAAAACTTCGAATTTAGTAAACTCCGTGCAAATCAAGATTCATCCGCAATCTCAACAGACTTTTTTCTAATTGAAAGGTGATTTATTTATTTAAATCAGAGAAGGTTTTGTCCAAATTTTAAATTGTTTAATTGTACGATTTTTTTCTACTCTTGTTGTTTTTTTTCTTGTGTAAGAAAATACACCTGTATCATAAATATTATTGAAATTTTAACTATTTTGTTCTTATAAAACAATACAATTTTTGCACATGGATTTGTTACACATTTGAAATTGTGGCACTTTTTGATAAAGTATTTTTTAATTTTTATAGGGCAAATAAGTTAGTAGAACAGAACTTTTTTCCTAGAAAAATTGAAAATAACAAGTACCTACAGAGTGATTCTTAAATATTCTATGCAGAAGTTTTAAGAGGTGGTAAGCGGAAGTTCGTCAAAAAAAATGCAGTGTAACTGAAGTTTACATTTTTGCACTTTATTCCAAGTTTCCATTGCTCGACAAAAAAATTTGATGGAAATTTTTTTACCTTTATTATTTTTTTCACTATAAAAACTCTTTTTCTGTTTCTGTTTTTCCTAATTTTGACTTATTTTTTTATAAAATTGTAATAGATTTTGAAGAACTGACCTCAGAAACCATATTTGTTACCCTATATTTTAGAAAATTATTTTTGCATCTTTTGTTGTGTTAAAATTACCTTGTATACATTTTGTAATTTTAGTTATTTAAAAAAAAAATTAAAATATAAAGAGGAAAGTCTGGATAAAACTTGACTCACACCGTGTGCATATTATTTTTTCTAATCCTATTAAAGAATATGTATTTACTTTTTTCAGACGTTTTCAGTTGAGAAAGTTGTTCAATCTTCAACTGTGGAGAAAATTGAAAATTGTGGAGAAAGAGTTTAATTTTCTCCACAGTTATGGAAAAAAAAAATGGTTTATATGTATGTTGACAGTAAAAAGAAAATATAAATTGAAATATTAGTCATTATTTAAGATTAGGAAACGTATGGTATTAAACTCGTGAGAAATGGTCATTTCCATTAACATGAAATTTACGATACGAGTCGAGGGACTAATTCAACTTTCTCACTTGTTGAATAATATACTATTATTTCATTCTTTAAAATTATATTATTTTATGTTATCTAACACGTTTTGACAATTATATCTAATAAAAAAAAACTAAAAAACTACAGTTTTTGTACTTGTTTTCTAAGTCAAATCAATCAATTAAATTAAATTAAATCAATTAAACTAATAAATTTTAGTGATATTCGCAAATTAAAAATTTTGATAAATGATGCTAAATCGCTCAGAAATGACTCAAATAGCAAAATGCCAATTAAAAACGTCAATTTTTCGATTTGTTTCTGCAAAATCTATAGCTTCATGTCATGAAAAAAATTAGACCAAAACAAATGTCATTTCTAGTGGCCTTTAAATTGAATCACTTTACATTATTTGCTACTGCAACAATTTTCTATCATTATTCATTGTCCAATACGAAATAAATAATGTATTTTTGCGTTGTAGGTGCGACTTGTTGATTAGTAATAATAGCATTGCGCAAAAAAGCTAATTTATGTTTAACAAAGTGTCAGGATGTATGTTTCACTTGCTGTAGATTTTTTATTGTTACAATTATTTATAAATTTTTAAAACTACTTTCACACAAATATTCACAAAAGTGTGATTTTCTATTTTTAGACGTGATTTCCTTTGTTTTAAAAATTCTAACAGGAGTAGTGATAACACTCTTTGTGGTTATCACCATGTGATTTATACTTACCTTACTTATCTAAAACACCATGAAATTCGAAAAACACATGTTTAACGCAGATGCTAAGTGAACAATGAGACTCTGTTTCAGACTTTTTGTTATTTATTTACACGAAAATATTTTCTTCCCAACAGGAATAAAATACAAGAAATATCTATTTTTACTCTTAATTTTTCATTTTCTTGTGTTATTTATTATTAATTTAGTCTGTTGGGAGGAACGTTTTGTATAAATCTCAGAAATAAACATTTATAACGAAAACGCCCTCGGCTCCCTTCGGTCACCCCTGGGATTACATCCAATAGTAGTTTTTCTTATTTTTTTTTTTCAGGTGTTTTAGCGATAATCTTCCTCGCTTTGGTGATCCTAGCCATCGTGATTGGGCGCTACTTGCACCGCCACAAGGGTGAATATTTGACCCAAGAAGACGCCGGCGCCGACACTGCACTCGACCCAGACACCGCCGTCGTCCACGGAACAACCGGACATCACGTCCAGAAAAAGAAAGAGTGGTTCATATAGTCGATCCGTTATTTTCAATTCAAGGGCCTAATAGTACAACAATATTATTTTATAGCATGACGGTTTTGCGGTGCGGAGGGCCGTATTTCGTGAAAATTTATTTACATTGAAACGATCGTTTATTTTTTTATTGTTTTTATTTAGGATGTGTTCGTGTGGCATAAACTTTTGTTTTGTGCAATTTCGATACTTTCTCTTGACTTATTTTATTTCCGTCCATTTATTTGTAACATTCCAGTATTATTTATGGTTCTAACACTGAAATTCGATCACTTGATCTTCCAAAAAGGAGTAGTCGCTAGAATAAGTGCCTTTTTAGGGCATTTCATCGATACTTTGCACTGTGAACTTATCTTTTGTTGCTTTTTTGAACTGTATTATACTGTAATACGACTAGTATGAGATATTGTGTAATTTTTTACAAATAAAAACACGTAAAACACAAACAATTGAACGCATTTTTACAGTTACTCCAGTTAAATGAATAGTTCAAGAACTTGTAAATTTCATAGCGGAAATCCCCTCCTCTTCTTCCTATTGTGCTTTTGTGCACGTCTGTTGAACGCACGTTTCAAAACACTGGATGAAATGAAGAGTTTTTCCCGTGGGTGCGTCACGAAAATTTGATAATTTGACCAAAATGTGCGAGGAAGATAATTTTTTTATTCGCGAGTTGGAAGTGATTAAATTATCGGTGGATTCGTGCAATGGGTGCTTGCTGAAGAGGTCCAATGCCCTGAGGAGAAGGCGAAGACCTTTGGTGAAAAATCGGGAAGTGAGGTTTCTTCAACTGGAAAATGTCCCAGAACCGGGGGAAATCAGACGAAAATTTGTCAGGTGAGTTCATTTGCATTTGTTTTCATTATGCAATACGATTTTCCGGTGTGGCGATAGTGAATAACTGTAAAAAAATGTTTTTTTCTCTATATTTCTTTGTTTTTTTTTCACGTTTTTTTATTATGTATTTTTTGGACTTATTAGTGTTGCGAATGAAATAACACACTACTCAAATTATTAGTTTCTACAATATTTTTGAATTAACATTGCATGAGTCACTTTATGACCAAAAAATTAATTCAAGCGTTCTTGCGGAAAGGCATATTTACCATCCGGAGTCATCGTCAGTCATTTAGTTGCGTTACCATGGCACAATATTTTGATTTCATCATGTAATGATTTTTCGAAAAAAAGTCGATTTTTTATTTTTCTTTTAGGAATTGGAGGAATGTGAATGTGGTCAAGACGAAATTGAATGGTAAGAAAATCAAACACTTCCTGCAAGGAAAATTCGGGTCGATATCTTACAATAAAGAAATTTCTGTGCCTTGGTTTCTTTTGTGGAAGTATCGGAAAATTCATCCTGCTGTGGGGCGAAGGTAAGTGTAAAAATTGTAAATTGGGGAAAGCGGTGACCTTTGGTTCGCTTTTGAAATACCGCCGGATGTTTAAGACAGTCTTCAACAGATATCACGGTTGAAGTGTTCTGATATTTTTAAATAACCACTAACTAAATGCAAAAAATGAAATAAAAAAAGAAAAAAAGTCAATTCTTTGAATTTCTGCTTTTGAGTTTGAGGAAAATTTGTTGAAAAATCTACAAGTGTGGCTTAAAAAACGAGGATTTGCGACAAAATATTCTCAAAAAAATTATTTTATTTCATCGTTAACAAATTTTGCTACTTATGTTCGTACAACTCAAAATTCAACAGAAATTAATAGATTTTTTGGAAACACAATTTTAGCATTTTTGAATTGAGAAATGAATTTAAAAACTGTTCTTTGCAAACAATCAATTGAATTTTGGATAAAATTAAAAGTTAAATTTATTTATGAATAAAAGTGAAAAGCAATAAAACATTCGAAATTTCTGTTTTTGAGTTCTGCAAATTTTTTAATATTTTTGATTGTTTAATAAAGAATAGTTTTCCACTAATAAAATGAAAAAAAAAAACATAAAAAAACATTTCCGAGTTGTTTTTTCATTAGATTGAAATGATATGTGATGTATGTGTTCGTCATTTGTCTATTCATTTATTTTGAGACACTCTGTATACACGATGTATTAAAAAAAATGTAAATAGCCCAAAAATTTAGTTTGTTATAAAGTCGCAGTTTTTTTTTTAGTTGCGCACAAATGAAAACGTTCCTGGAAAAAGAATTACAGTTTCCATTAGAAAAAAAAATCAAAAGCTTTTTGTTTCTTGCAAGATTTTTGTTTGAACTACATTACAAAAAATTTATTCTGAAATCGCCCGTAAAGAGAATAGAGTAGTCCGTAAAGTGGTATAATAAATAAGCTATAAAATGTGCGTGTTGGTTGATGTTGGCCTAAATTTTCACCTCGCCTGAATTTTTTAAATTTGTTTTCATACCTCTCTTCGAACCCAAACTTTTTTTTTCTGAAATCGTTCGAAAGTGAACGAAATAGTCCGTAAAATAGTACTTTTTAAAGGACAATCTACTGTAAAAAAAAAAGAAAAAAATATAGTTGATTACCAAAAAAAAAAGGCGTTAACGAGCTTACATTCATACTTTTTACTCACTCTGTATATAATTATGTTTTTGAAGCCATTTCAAAAAAGGTCATTCATTAATTTGTATTTTCATGTAATATTTACTTTTGGTTGTTTAATAAAGAAGAGGTTTTTCCACTAGAATAAGAGGGAAAGTGAGAAAAAAAACAAAACGAGTATCGATGATTTCCAGTGTCTTTCTTTATGAATTTTAAAATGATAAAGATATGTGTTTGTTCGTCATTTGGTATATTCCTTTATTTCGAGACACTCTGTATACAGGATAAAAAGCAATTATTTCGAAAAAAAATGTAAATAACTCAAAAAGATTTAGATTGTTATAGATTGCAGTTTTTTTAGTTTCGTTTCTGGAAAAAAAACATTTATTCAATGCTCTATATTCAAATTGAATTTTATCTACTCTTTTCTTCATCTTAAAATGAAATTTTATCGTCTAGATGATAAAAAATACATCCATTGTTGTATATCTGCGGTTGTTAGTTGCTAACGATCTTTGACATTAGATTTCATTGTTGAATTTTACTTTGACATTTTTGCTCTCAAAGATAAAATTCAATTTTATCGCCTTGTATAATAAATAACTATTATTTCTCATTAGAAAAGCTTTTTGTTTCTTTCAAAATTTTTCATTACTTAAAAAACAACTCTGCATTCGTGCGCAAAGAGAATGAAGTAGTCTGTAAAGTGGTACTTTTTCGGACTCATATGTCACTAATTAGAATAGTCCGTAAAATGTGCAAGTAGGTATAAATTTTCACCACTGCTGGAAAAACCTTTATTTGTTTTCATATCTTCCTTAAAACCCAGTGGTCTGCTACAGTTGGGGTTTTCCTGTTCCCCACTTGATATAACCTTTTGCAATACTTTAGTCTCCACTACAACTTCATCTCATTATCTTGTGTTTGCATTTAGTCATAATCCGGCAGGTATTTATTGTGGTTCTAAATTTAAACGAACTACATTTTAAGATTACTCCTTTTATTTATAGTCAAGGATGCTCACACGTTTTTGCATTGGTTCTTTCATGATTGTGAGTAAAATTACTGTTTTCGGTTGATTTAAAGCAGTAGTTGTGCGTCAATTTAGTTTGTGTTATGTTTACAATGGGTAAAAAAGCAAAAGAAGAGAACTTTTATAAGAAACTTCAAAAGCAAAAGTCTGTGGAAGTACCAAATGAAAGGTAGGTAAATAAACACTTGAGTGAATTTTTATAAATTTTTGTAATTAAAACCATACTGCGTATGCTATAAATTTGAATCTTGTGATCTGCCTGCTCGAGCGTGTATACATAATTAGCTAATTACACACTGTCTTTAATTAGTCAGTTTGTATACAGAAAAAAACAACATACGAAACGAAATCTTGTTAAGATAAAAGTTGCAGAAAACATTCATGCAAGCATACGAGCAGCGTAGCGGCGAGTTGAAGAACAAATGATTGCCTAAATGGACTTCTGTAACGAGTCTTATACTATTTTTTGTACTTTTTATGCCGTTTTTTTATAGAAAAAAAGAAAAATTTAGTAAATTTGTGGTGACACGTGGTAGTAACATTTGTCATTGAGCGTAACCTGGAAATGAACTCTTAAGAATTTAGGGAAATTAGGAAGAATATTGAAAGTAATTTACTTCCAACGGCATTGTTACAAACATTAAAGAAATAAAATACACTAGGCTGTTAGCGCACTCTGAGAAACTGTTAGCACACTTAAACGAGTTTGTTAATAGCATTGTTAAAGACGCAAAATAGGAATATATATTTTTTTATAATTATACTTAAAAACTGAAATACTTACATATTTTGTTTGATAATAGTTGGCCATGGAAAAACTATTTCACTCCAAATGTGTAAATAATAATCAATAAGAGTTTTGTGAACTGTATAATAGATGAAAAAATAGATAAAATTATAAAAATTAAAAAAAATACGATACGTTAGAAGTATTGAACAAATATGTGAGCGCCTCAGAACAAAATTATTATACATATTTTTAAACAATCCAAAAATAAGGAAAACAAATGTGTCAACAGTCAACAAAATTAGAAAAACATTTTTTTTTGGTGATCTAATGGAGGTAGGATAATCCTTTTAGTTGAAAATGCAACATTTTTTCATGGCCAACTGCGAACAAAAATCAAAGATAACTTACTAAAAATGTATTATAATAATTTGTTACAGATACAGGTGCGCCAGAATTCGCGCCCCAGAGAAAAAAAAAGGTAAGATACCAGGAAGATGGAAAAAATGTTAAAAAAATTTTATCTATAAAAATTTCGAAGTTATGAGAGTTTAAAGTTTGCACTTTGACTCTATTTCTGTTGGAAAATAATTTTCCAAGTTTTTTTGCTATTAAAAGAAGAAACAAGGAAGCTGTATCCTAAATTGTAATTCTGTTCAATGTCATTTGTGGCTTTTATTGTCAAAATTTTTGTCCCTTTACTAAATAATTGTAAAAAAAACATATACAAGACCATCAGTATCACTAAATAGATAAAAAAAAATGTCAAATGTCAAAAAATAAATATCAAAATTTTTTGACAGATAGAATTTTTTAAACATTTATTTCATGTTCCTGGTATCTTACCTTACTTGAAAATTTTCTGTGGGGCGCGAGTTCTGGTGCAGCCTGTATATATTTTTTAGATTAAAAAAAACAAGCTTTTTGAAAATGACAAAAATTATTAACTACATTATTAAATTCTATGTAAAAAAGTGCATATATAATGTCTTTATTTCAAATCTGTGTCTTCTATAATAACGAAGATATGATTTTTTTTAGATTTCGCTAAAATGTCAATTTTTGTGTATAAGTCGAAAACAAAAGACGATAGCGGGATGCGGTTTTAACCAATATTATTTTCTCAAAAAATGAGCCCCAGAATGTATTACTCGTTTTTGGCTAAACCTCTTAGTTTCGGAGATTCCCTATTCGGACATCCAAAATGCAGCACCCTGTACATGTGTTCAAAAAAATCGTTAAAAGATAAGGAAAAAATACCTTTTGCATGCCATCTTCAGGAGGCTCTAGCTCCCTTTTTTAATTTTGACACAAGGAATCATCCCACGAAATATTTTTTGCACACCCTGTATGACTTAATTAAAAATACTTAAATTCCACCACAATCACAAATAATATAAATATTTTGTCATTATTGACATTTTATATTTATTTTTTTGGGTATTATTTTCAAGAGAACAGAGAGAGACTTCAACGAGCTTGGGGAGCGCTCCCCTCAAATTATTTCATCAAAAAAATTCGTTAAATCGGGAACTTCGTATTTCTTTAATTCGACTCTTTATTTTCAATGTTTTTGTATACGTTTTTTTAATTGTTTCAGTAGTTCAGTGTCAAGTTTTCTATTTATAGTTGCATGCGTGTTAAAATAGGCCACTCTTTGTGTTGTTCCCAGTCGCATCACGTCACCTTTCCGGAAATGTTATCCAATAAAGCGATTGGAAGTCGAGCGTAGATCCCCATTTGAACATGTGAGAGAACACCACATGACAATTCGAAAAACAATGCAAACGTGTAGGAGTATTTTAAACACTGTTGACCATTATTATCCAATCTTGCGTTTTGAAGCTATAGATGAAGGTCAGGATTCTATGGTAGGAGGTTTACGTCTTTGTATGAATGGGTAGGAAATACCTCGTTTGCATTTCCCACACTAGTCATCGGATTTGTTATAATTTCGTGGAGGTGAACGGTCTGCTCTGTGATAACCTCACACTTTTTGTTTTGTGTGTTTTGTGGCGGTTTTAGCACAAGTGACATGGATATGGAAGCGGAGGAAGTCATGTGGAAGACGATTTATAACAGGCTGCAAAGTCAAAAATCTCAAGATCCGACAGAACATGAGCTAAGGTAGAGGGTCCTAAGCGAAAATTTTTGGATTTTATTTAGGTTTTTCAAAGTGATGCGGGTGATTTTCTATCCACTTTCTCGTTTTTACTGATATTTTTTTCACCAAAATGCGGGCAGACTTGATTTTTTCAGTAATAAGAGAGAGGCAGAGATCATTCTTATATTTAGACACAATAATCATCGAGTTCATAGTACCATAAACATCACGATTTTTACCGGCCGGTTCTTCTATTAATATCGCAAAGTTAAAAAAAATTCTTTCTTATATTATTTTTAATTTTGTTTTGTTTTATTTTTTCTTTTTACTTTCTTATTAGTTTATGATTGTCGATGTAGAAGCGAAATGTGACTTGAACTTGAAATACATAGATGACAAACATAATTATTTTTAGTCATGTTGCAACGAATAAATTAACACAACATGTGAATATATTTATACAAATTAGAGCGTGTAATAGCAGTTAAAAGGTAAAACTAATTAGTCCAAAGTGTTATCAGTGTTAAGTACCGGAGATTTAAACTAAATGAACACAAGATTTTTATTAGAAGTTGGGTCTGGGTCAGATGATGCAAAATTCTTTTGAGAATCTTATTGTTAATTAATTTGAGTGGAAAACTAATAATAAAAAGCTTTATTGACACATTTGTTTTTATCCTTTTTTATTACCCTTTTAACCTTTATTATCATATTATTATCTCAGTTTATTAACTTAATTTATTGATGGAAATAAAAGTATAAAAATATTTCTTGACATTGTGATGATGAAAATCTTCTCAAACTGATTCATGTAACAAATAGTTTAAAAGATGAGTTAAATTCCGAGAAGATTTGTATTGTTCGTATTCATGACACACAATTTCACTGAAATAAACGTTAAATTCTAATTAATTAAGCGAAAATGAAAAAGTTACTCTAAAAGTACACAATTTTAAAAGCAAATTTTCGTCTGTTTGAAAAAAACAGTTATTTTTGGATTGTGAGTAACACTTGACTCTGCCAGTACAATTTTTTTTTAATAAATTATTTAGAATTTTATTAAATATTTCGTTCTAAATTCTAATCGGCTTTTGCCGTTCATTGTTCTTGGCCTTTAAAAAGGAGAATAAAATTTAAGTGAATTTTTTTTAATTTTCTCTAGTTTCTAGTTTAAATCTCGAACATAATTTAAAGCGTTAACCAACCAACAGCAAGCTGCGGATTTTTTATAATTTACATAACAACGCAGAATTTGGTTATTTTTGGGGTTTATGTTTGAACCACAATCTCTGCGGTTATTCCAAAATAACTTTGTTATAATTGTTTTATTATGTGGTTGTTTTTTTTTCGTTACTTGTAAACAAATATTGACTTCCATCGAGAAAAAAGAAAAAGATGCGCAATTTTTAAATAGTTATTTAATTTTCAATGATATACAGGGTGCGCCAGAACTCGCGCCCCAGAGAAAATTTTCAAGTAAGGTAAGATACCAGGAACATGAAAAAAATGTTTAAAAAATTCTGTCAAAAAATTTTGCCAATAAAAGCCACAAATAACATTGAACAGAGTTACAATTTCGGATACAGCTTCCTTGTTTCCTCTTTTAATAGCCTATAGCAAAAAAACTTTGAAAATTATTTTTCCAATAGAAATAAATAGAGTCAAAGTGCAAAATTTAAACCCTCATAACTTCGAAATTTTTATAGATAAAATTTTTTTAACATTTTTTCCATGTTCCTGATATCTTACCTTATAATGTCATTTTTCTCTGGGGCGCGAGTTCTGGCGCACCCTGTATATTTATATGTAATTTGGGCATGACAATCTATGGTGACAACTCAAAATTACAAAATGCATTTGTAATACCAATCCCAATTTGAACACAAAATACGTAAATAAACGACTACAAATGCAAAATGTTGACAACTACAGTAAAACCTCTCAACAACGGATACCGATGAGGAATCTTTAATTGTCCGTTGTGAAGAGGTGTCCCTTAATGGGAGGTGTGCAAAATTAATAAAAAAATTGAAAAGCCTTTTACTCAAAATAACCAAATACAATAACAAAAATACAACAATTAAGAAATTAAAAGCATTACACAAAAATTGAGGAGCAAATTTTCAGAATGCAGTTTGTCTGTGTTTATGAATTGAGATAAAGGTTTTTAAAGTTTTTTTGTAAAATGCCTAAGTACTCCAGCCGTAAAATTAGTGTCCGATTGTGTCCAATTTGTACAATTTTTTTCACATTTATTGTCACTGATATATAAAACAAACCTGATATAAAACATTAAAATTCTTTCTTAAAAGAAGGACAGCTTTTGTTCTCTTCTGCAAAAATGCAAATTTGGACAAAATGCTTTTTGAAAGTCTGCTCCTTCCTCAATTAGAAAAAAAGCATTTTTATTTGAAAAAATCGTTTATTGTTTGTTTAAACCAAAAATTTCAAGTAAGATAAGATACAAAAAATGTTTAAAAACTCTATCTGTCAAAAAAATTGACATTTATTTCTTGACATTTGACATTTTTTCAATGTTTATTTAATGATGCTGATGATTTTGTATTTTTTTTTATAATTATTTACTAAAGGTACAAAAAATTTGCCAATAAAAGCCACAAATAACATTAAACAGAGTTACAATTTAGGATACAGTTTCCTTATTTCTTCTTCTAAAAAAACTTGGAAAATATTTTTTTTAACAGAAATAAATGGAGTCAAAGTACAAAATGTAAACTCTCATTCATAACTTCGAAATTTTTATAGATAGAATTTTTTTAACGTTTTTTAAGTTCCTAGTCTCTTACCTTGCATGGCATTTTTCTCTTGGGTGCGAGTTCCGGCGCATTGTTTCAAAATTGTTTTTCAATAAAACTAAACGATTTTTGAATTATTTTTTATTTAATAGCAATGTATGGGGATTCTATGTTTTTTGGAGCATTATGAGCTAATATCGATTTTTTTTAATTCCCTATCTCTACCATAATTAGTTTTTTTATACCACTTTTTTACGCAGCTATTACATTAGTTAAACTATTGTTTACAATTTTAAATGCTATTTACAACCTTGACCGCAAATGTTTTTCTCCTGGTGATATTGTGTTTGTGTGGTTGTCGACCATTGCGCGCGCGTAAACCCCAATCATCTGTTTTCTAAAAATAACTTGACATTTATTTTGTGGTTATGTTCAAATTAAAATGACATTGTGTGGGTCAATTCAATTCACAGTGTCTTAACCCCACAATTTCAGTCACGCAACGCCCCAACATGTTGAAAACCCCCTGGATTCGCACTTTGCAAGCCCGCTCGATGCACCTCCTCAAAGACAAAGCCTTCATCGACGGCCAATGGCTCCCCGCCCAATCAAACAAAGTCTTCTCGGTGACCAACCCCGCCACGGGCGAAGTCATCGGCACCGCCCCCGACATGGACCAATCCGACACCCAGAGTGCCATCGAGGCGGCTGCCACCGCCTTCAAAACCTGGCAAGACACCACCGCCAAAGACCGCTCGCATTTCTTACGAAAATGGTACGATTTAATGGTACAAAACCATGAAAATCTCGCCAAAATCGTAACCCTCGAGGCGGGGAAACCCCTAGTGGAGTCCCGCGGTGAAGTCACCTACGGCAACTCCTTCATCGAGTTTTTCTCCGAAGAGGCGCGCCGCATCCATGGGGAAATCATCCCAAGTCCCACCCCTACGAAAAAAATCCTAGTGGAGAAGCACCCAATTGGAGTCGCCGGACTTATAGCCCCCTGGAACTTCCCCCATGCGATGATCACACGCAAAGCAGGCGCTGCTTTAGCCTCGGGTTGCACTTGTGTGATCAAGCCGGCTGAGGATACCCCTTTTACAGCGCTTGCTTTGATGGAATTGGCACAACAAGCGGGGATTCCCAAAGGGGTACTCAATGTGGTGACCAGCAGTCGGGAGAATGCCCCCCAAATCGGGAATTTACTATGCGAGAGCCCTCTAGTAGCCGGGATATCATTCACGGGCTCCACACAAGTGGGGAAACTGTTATACCGACAGTGCTCCTCAGGGATTAAAAGAATCGGACTTGAATTAGGCGGGAATGCCCCTTTTATTGTTTTTGATTCGGCCAAAGTTGGCAATGCTGTTAAGGGGGCCATGGCGTCGAAATTCCGCAATTGTGGGCAAACTTGCGTCTCCTCAAACCGTTTCCTCGTCCAAAGACAAGTCTACGACTCGTTTGTTGATCAATTGGTGAAGGAAATCCAAGGTTTGAAGATGGGCAATGGGCAAGAAGCGGGGGTTCAAGTGGGGCCGTTGATAAACCACACGCAGTTTGATAAAGTCTCAGATTTGGTCAAGGATGCGGTCAGTAAGGGGGCAAAGGTTTTGACAGGGGGCAAACCCGCGACACAATTTGGGGAACTGTTCTACGAACCTACCGTTTTGACTGATATTAAAGAAAATATGAGGGTTTATACCGAAGAGGTTTTTGGGCCTATTGTCAACATTTTTCGATTTGAAACGGAAGAGGAGGGTCTTCGGATTGCCAATAGTACGGAAAGGGGGCTAGCGGGGTATTTCTACTCGGAGGATGTTGCTCAGATTTTCAGGGTGGCGAGGAAACTCGAAGTGGGGATGTGTGGGGTTAATGAAGGGATTATTTCGACGGCAGAGGCGCCCTTTGGAGGGATTAAGGAGTCGGGGTTAGGGAGGGAAGGGTCCCATCATGGGATCGACGATTTCACCTATATTAAGTATATTTGTGTCGGTAATTTGTGAATATTTTTTCAATTTTAAGCATTCCATAAGTGATGGAAAAGTGTTTTTTTATCACTCTTAGTGAATGTTAATGAACTTTACTAGGCTATTTCCGCGTTGTTAGATGTGCTTTTGCCAAGTTGTTTAAATATAGTTTCTTAAGTGTCAAGAGCTACCTGTATTTTTTCTGTTATTTAGTTCTAGGAAAAAAAAATCGTTTTGTCAAGTTGTATAAAAAAAAGTCTTCCACAAAGTCTTCCATTTTGCGCCTTTGGCAAATATTTTTTGTTTCTAATAGAATCAAGTGGTTATTTAGTAATAGATTATCTATCAAAGTGTTTTATTCTCATTTCAACTCAATGTTCATGTGTTATTTCTATGTATAATTGTTTTTTTTTTGTTTAATAAATCTGAAGTAAACTTTTTTTTTAATTGTTCCACACAAAAGATTGCATTTTATTAAAAAATTGCCACAATAAACATTTTAACATACATGAAAATTGAAATACCGACAATTCTGAAAGTAGATGCAAAAAAAAAGTTGCAACATTGACAAATGAAAGGAGAACTTAGAGTAAAATGTGAAAACTTGCAAATTGAAAAAGTAATTTGTTTTTTATCTGCTTTATCGTTTTTAAAATAAACATGCGCTATTTTTGCGCCAAATTCTGATTTCAACTTTGAAAACAGAAATTTAAGCTGGCAAATTTTTTTCACAACTCTACAGGGTTGTTATAAATGATTGTAGCATTAATCTTCAATGAAAAACAAAAGGAACTTAATGGGATAATTTGCAAGATATTTATTTTCAATATTGCCGAATTGTCAATTTTTTATTGACAGTTGCAGTGGTGCATGGAGCCGTAAATGCTATTGAAAATAAAAAAAAATGTGAATAGCGACTGTATGGATTATTTATAACAACCTTGTAAATTATATAGACACTGTTATTATGTTGAATAAGTTAAAAAAAAAGAAATGGAGAGGGAAATACTCAAAAAATAAATCGTTTATTTAACGTTTTAGAGTTCATGATGTAAAAATTTTTTTCACCACTGTACCGGTTTGATTTAAATGATTGTAACAATGATGTACAATTGCGAGCATTCAATTTTGGTAGAGTCTGCGGAAAGATATATCGTGTTTATAAGCGGTATTTTTATGAAGGCCCATTTTTTTCAAGTGTAATTCAGAAAACGATAATTGTAATTCAAAACAGTAAAATGAATTTTACTATCAAATATAATTCAGATTAGTCAATTGCAGTTGAGAAAGTGTTAATTGGTTAATTAACTAATAAAAAATTAATTGTTAATTAATAAAAAAAATAAGCAGTTAGGCACATTTTTTCAATTTTCAAAAAAATTCCTTAGAAATAGCAATATTTGTGCTAATTTTTTTCAAAATTGCAATACGGACATTTTGGAAACAGCCTTCAAAACATTTTTATCATTTATGTGTTAAGAACGTTTTTTTAAATAAACAGGTAAATTTATTTGTGACATTGTTTTCTATATTTTAATTTTTTTTTTCTATACGCCAGAACTTGCGCCCCAGACAAAAATTTCAAGTAAGATATGGTACCAGGAACATGAAAAAAATGTTTAAAAAATTGTATCTGTCAAACAATTTTGACATTTATTTTTTGACATTTGACATTTTTTTATGTCTACTTAATGATACTGATGATCTTGTATATGTTTTTTTTACAATTATTTAGTGAAGGTACAACAATTTTGCCAATAAAAGCCACAAATAACATTGAACAGAGTTACAATTTAGGATACAGCTTCCTTGTTTCCTCTTCTAATAGCCTGTAGCAAAAAAACTTGGAAAACCATTTTTCCAACAGAAATAAATAGAGTCGAAGTGCAAAATTTAAATTTTTAAAGATAAATTTTACATGAAATTAAAAATAAAAATATCTATTTGTTTCTGATATTAAAACGGAAAAACCTACCTACACGTCATGTATTTTGTTTCAGTATCAAATAAAACTAAACTGGCCTTGGAAAGCTAATTAAGTGTAAAGATTAATGAAAATTAGAATTAATATTTACTTTAATAACTGACTTATAGAAATGGTAAACAATGCTCAATTTCGAAAAAGCATAGAGAAAAAGATCCCAATAAAGAGAGGTAATCAGATTTTCTCAAGGACGTTGATGGCAGACAAAATTACACAAAAAACTTCTTTTTTTGGCAAAAAAATAAAATTTCAAAATGACATTACCTACCAAAATTTTATGTTCGCTATTGTACAATAGAAAACAAAAGAAAATCTACCGCTTCTCAATTTATTTTGCAAGCCAAATTGCAATATTGTTAAACTGTCATTTTTTTATTGACAGTTGCAGTTTTGCACAGAAATGAATAGCGACTGGATGCTACAATCATTTATAGCAACTCTGTATATTATAAACAGTGTCATTACGTTGAATAAATTAATAAAAATAAATTGTTTACTTGATTCATGATTAAAGAGAAAAATATTGACTGCATTATTATTTTGTGTTTCAGAATTCAGCAGGTCGATGGTGGCTTTTTCGAGAAGTTCGGCAAATTGCTCCGTGAGCATGCCGAAACAACGGAAGATCGGGAAAGCGAAGAAAAACGAAAAGTTGAAGAAATCGCAGAATGTCTCCGATCTGACGAATGTGTCAGCACTGACACCGAATTTATAGCTTCCTCCAGTGATAGCGACAATGAAGCCAAAAGTTTGTCTTCGGATTCTGAAGTCGAGGAAAAGGACAAGACTGATTTAATTTCCGCTGCTTTCAACGTGAGTAAATCATTTTTTACAGCTTGCAATTTATTTTCATGGACGCCAGTGGAATTTGGGCTTGGTGACAATTATCTTCAAAAATTCCAGACCGATTTATTTGCATTAAGATTTTTATTGTGTGCAACCAACTTGGCAAATACCTAAGATAATCGAAAAATCCACATAAAATTGTGATTTTTGCGCCAACATCTTCAGTGTTTATTGATTCTCGATTATTAAAATTTTTATAGTTCCTTTAATTCAGTGAATATTTCTGTTGGAATTATCAAAATAAACAAGAACTATAAATTGATTTATGCTACGTTTTTACTGTCGTTACTTAAAGCTTATTAACGTTTTATGCTATAAATATCGGAAAATATTTTGGTCTTTCCTGTTTTATTTTTCTTAATCCAGCACTTCATACGTCAGTTAGTTGTCTAACAAAACGCGTTGTGATTATGGAAAGGTTTTAGACTAAAATTTTGGAACACAAAAACTATTGTTTTTTTTCAATTTTTTTCAAAATTTTGAGGAGCGCTTAACTCTGAAACTATTGATCGTAACTCTTTATTTTTGATATAGTTAGAAAGCACATTTAATTTCTTATCTTGTAAAAAAGATCAGTGCTCTGTGTGGTGAAAATCTCCGATATGCCCGAATTTTCCGATTTTCTCGACACCAATTAACTCTCTGGAACATTTTACCTTTATACAGGCTGCGCCAGAACTCGCGCCCCAGAGAAAAATGCCATACAAGGTAAGATGCCAGGAACATGGAAAACATGTTAAAAAAATTTCGAAATTACGAGAGTTTAAAGTTTGCACTTTGACTATTTATTTCTATTGGAAAAATAATTTTGCAAGTTTTTTTTGCTATAGGCTATTAAAAGAGGAAACAATGAAGCTGTATCCTAAATTGTAACTCTGTTCAATGTTATTTGTGGCTTTTATTAGTAAAATTTTTGTCTCTTTACTAAATAATTGTAAAAAAACATATACAAGATCATCAGTATCATTAAATAGATATAAAAAAAAATATCAAATGCCAAAAACTAAATAAAAAATTTTTTGACAGAATTTTTTAAACATTTTTTTTATGTTCCTGATATCTTACCTTACTTGAAAATTTTCTCTGAAGCGCGAGTTCTGGCGCACCTGTATAGTTCACAAACATTTCAATTTTGGAACACAATTTTGCTGAAAAAAAAAATTAAAAAGTTTGCTGGCAAAAAATAAAAAGCCCTAATTCTTCTACTTTAGCTGTAATAGGCAAAAATTCAGATTTTCTTAGATTTGAAATGGTTATTTTTTTGAGACTAAGTAGCTAGGGCAAAATTAAAAAAAAATGAATCTAGATTTGATCTATCGAATAATGAAAACCCGGAGTCGTTCCGGGTCAAGGATCCGGGCATATAGACATTTAAAATCTTACACTTAAAACTTATTTTGAAAATGATCAATCTTAGCTTAAAATGATTTACATAAAGTACTGATTTTTGATGAGATTTAGAGGTTTTTATTTTTTCGATTTTTTTCAAAATTTTTGTCATTTTGTACTACCCGGAACTTTTCGGTTTTCAAACGACTCTTTTAACTTTAACTTCGTATTGTTCATTCACCATTTCAATTTTGGAATAATTTTTGGAACTGGACAATATACAAAAAAACAAAGGATTTTTCAGTTATCTTGTAAATTCGTTTCAAATCTATGGTATTTTATAAATTTCGACACGCTAGTTACGAATCTTCCGGTTTTTTCCCACAACTTTTCTAGATTAGTCGTAATCGGCGTTTAAAAAGTGTAAAAATTCAGTTTTTTATTTGAAACTATCACAGTAAGAACAAAACTAAAAATTCATCGGAATAAACGTTTGCTTGATTATCTATCGAGTGGTGAAAACTAGAAGTCGCTCCAGGTTATGATTCTGGGTATAGAGATAAAATTTTACATAAAATTTTACACTTATTAACTTCTTATCTTGAAAATGATCAGTTTTACCTCAAAATAGTTTATAATATAGGCTAGTTTTTCGATTTTTGCTGATTTTTTTTTAATTTGGAGAGTTTTGATTTTGTAAATTATTTTTTCAAAATTTTCGTTCTTTCAGTTAAAAATGCACCCCAATTACTCAT